TGATCAGAGAGAAATCCATTTCTTCCTCCACGCCTCACCTCCACTTGTTTTGGGTCAAGCAGGTTGTCCCCAGTCACCCAGAACCATAGCCTTTTTGTAACAACTGGTAACAAAAGAGCTTCTCTTTACAGAGTGTTTGCTCTAGGCGAGGCCAAGCTAAAGTCTCTAAATATCTTACTTATTCCTTTACCACAATTCTAAGGGCAGGGACTACCACTCTCACTTTTACAGATGAGGAAATAGAACCTCAGAGAGATTGCTCAAAGTCACAAAGCTCATCGCAGTGAAGCCAGAATTGGCATCCAGGCAGAAATCACAACGGCCTCCACACTGGACTCACTATCACTATTCTCCGCCTCCTATTACACCAGATGGAATCATATCACTTATTTGCTTAAAATCTGTGGCACTCCCCTCACCCCTTCCACTCCCCAAAGAACACAACCTAAACCTCTTAACATCTCATTTCCAAGTCCAGTTTTCAACACATTTATTCACATACTCATTATAAGTCTAATGAATAATAGCAAGACCTAACATTTGTGTCAAAGCAATTTTACATACAACCTCCCCCAAACTATGTGATATAGGCAAGTGAGCAAAGAGTTCTAAGCAGTTTCAATCGCTTATCGAGAGGCAGGACGATATGCCTTGACTTTCCTTCCTTGTTCTCACAGTGTTCTCATCTTCCTACCACATTTCAAGTATGTCAAGCTCCTTTGACCCTCTTTAATTCTGCAGCACTGTTTCTGCTGGTGAGCACGCCCTTCACCCTGCCTGGTGAGCACATAGTAATCCTTCATGATTTCTCTGGCTCAACTAACCCATCTTTCTTTGGGCACACTTAACAGCCCATTAATGCCCTGCATGATTGCACTGCCTACATGAGATTAGATGCGTTTGTTTGCTTGACTCTCTTTTCCAGCACACTGTGGACTTCTCTAGAACAGAGATTATGGATCATGTGCATGACCTCATTTAGGAAGCTAGGTTAAACTAGTGGTGGAGAATGGAATGGATGAAAAAAGATATAACTCACAGCAAAGGTGTGTTTCTACTGCTTCCAGGATTCATGCAACACTGAATCAGTATTACCAAGAGTGAGACTTGGTACTAGGGGCTGAGATAATGATGGTGTGTTAAGTGTGTATGTATGTGTGCAGAAACAGAAGGGGTGGGGTATATATATATAGTGGATATACATACATAATTTCTCTCTTTGTACATATACAATGTGGGTACATGTATATAGATTGTGTATATATAATGAGCATACATATACATATATAGTCTGTATAAATATGCATGTGCATGTATAGTGTACATACATGTATAGTTTATATGCATATGTACATATATAGTGTGCACAAGCTTGCCTGTGTACTTATAGTGTGTGGATAGATTGTCTTTGGTCTGCACATAAATAGTGTATATATAGTGTGCATACATATGAGGTCCATCCTGAAAAAGTCCAGCCATTATTAATATAACGAGAACAGTTTGGATGACATGGAGAAAACCTGGCAGCCAAGGAGAGTGGACTGAAATGCTCATGTGCGAACAATGACAACTTCACTGTACTAGTCAGTGGTGGCAATAGATGCTATTGAGTGAGCATGTGTACCGTGTGGCCATCACATTCAAAATGACTGAATACAGCAACAAATCTGCATCAAATTTTGTGTTAAGCTTGAGTATTCCTCCATGGAAACTATTCGGGTGATTCAGAAGGCTGCGCATCTATGGGCAACAGGTGATTGATTGGTGGCTTCATCACAACAAATCACCCATTCATGCACCATGTCTCACACAGACTTTTTCGATGAAACATCAAATCACCCAGGTGACCCAGCACCCCCCACAGCCCAGATTTGGTGCCCTGCAACTTCTGGCTTTTCCCAAAACACTAAAATCACCTTTGAAATGGAAGAAATTTCAGATCATTGACAAGATTCAGGACAATACAATGCAGCAGCTGATGGTGATTGGGAGAGCTGTATGAGGTTCCAAGGTGACTACTTTGGATGGGACTGAGGTGTCATTGTCCTGTGCACAATGTTTCTTGAATCTTTTTCAATAAGTTTATATTTTTCATATCACATGGCTGGTTATTTCTGGACAGACTTTGTATATAGTGTATATTCACACACATACATAGTATATGTGTACATACACCTCATCTATGTGTGTGTACTAGAATGCACTGTGAGCGGAGACTTAGAGGGTACATTTGAAGATGATAGGAAGGACATTTATTAAACACAATATAGATTTTTTAAATAAAATAAGAGGCAGCTTGAGGCTTGCCTCCTTGCCCAGGAGAGAGAGCACCCCCAGAAGAAGAAGAAACAGAATTAGGAAGGAAAATAGCTTAGAGAAATCTCACTAAAACCAAGAAAGAACCACATTCTAAGAAGATGCTGGTTAGCAAAAATAAATACACTGTACCTTTAAAAACAAAGCCAAGGAAATGGAAAACCGGGGGTGGAGAGTGGGGGAGTGGCAGCAGGGGAATTAATGGATTTGACAATTAGGAAGACAGCAGTGAATGGGGTGGGGAAGCCGGGGGAGGTGGCGGGGGTGAAAGTTTCCGGAAGAGGTGGAATGACTCAAGGTAAGGAAGTAGTCAGACACACACACTCTCTTTCCCACACTTTGGCCGTGAAAGGATGACAAGAGAAGCCACTCTTGTGCAAGCCAAATATGAAATGGCTTTCTCTGGTTCCTGCAGGACTGGAAAAGCTCAAACAGGTTTGTGGACAGAAGACCACAGTCCAGAACTGTTGTCCCAGTATTCGCATCATGAAGCATCAAACATAGCAAACATGGCTGAGACCTCCAACCCATCTAGTGGTAGCCCAAAATCTCTCACAACAAGTCTGTGAGGTGGGTTCTATGATTATGGACATTTTATAGGTAAGGAAACAAGGCACACAGAGGCTAAGTAACTTTTCCAGAGTCACTCAGTTCTTAAGTCTCAGAGTCAAGGTTCCCCCAGGCAACCTGACTTCAGCCTGTGTGCTCTTAGCTGATGTGCAGGGAGGGACACAGAAAAGTCATGAGCTGCCTCCTGCTTTCCCAAATCCTGTTTGGACTGGCCTAGGCCTACTTTCCCTGGCTTTCTCTCCTGCCAGGCAGAGGCTTGGAACCATGAATGTCCTCATCAAAATAATGGACTAGGGGGACACTCTGTGGGAGAGGCAGTGGCTGGGGAAGAACAGAGGAGCAAGGCCATTTGCTGGTGTTGAAGAGTTTGCATCTTTTCAGCAGTTGTGAAAATGAAGATTATCTTAAGTATCATCAGAGGAAAGGTAGAGTGTACACTGTAAGACTGGCTTCAATTTCCAGTATTTTACAATCTGGGACAAGTCCATCTGTGAAGGTACCAATTCTTTATCCATAACATTACATGATGATAATAATAATAATTTTAAAGGATAATGATAACTATCTTACATCCCTTAGGGTATTGTAAGGAGCAGGTGAAACAGTGTGTATGATAATGAATTCAAATGTGAACTATTTCATCATCATCGTCATCATTCTTATTATTAGGCTATTAAACTCTCTGAAAAATTGCTCATCCTCTTCATTCTCCCGCTTCCACCTCCCAAGGCATTAAAAACTGATAAGGCACTTGATTTTGCGATAGTCTTGCTAAAGCCAAATACTTTCCAAGCGTAATGTTTGCCCCAAGCTAAATTCCCTTATATGGTGAGGCAACATGACGCGTGGTTAAAGTGAGCTGTGATCAGCTGCCATTATCCAAGGTCTGCAGGCAGCCTGAGGTGCCGGAAGCACCTCTGAACAACGAACAGTTGTGTCAGATGTTCCACGCCTGCCTGTTCATCCTTTTATTTCTCCCCTCAGAGAGTTGATCGTTGATATATGACCTTCAGTGCAGCCTTGCCCCTCACATCTCACTACCTGTTCCTGTGGACTTCACTTTTATACATCAGCGCAGCCTTGAAGTCCCAGCATGGTCTTGCTGAGGACAGAGCAAGAGGTGACTTTAGCAAAAAAGCCCAGAGAGCACGTAGAGAATCTGCCCGTGAGTTGCAGCTTACATTGTATTTTGCCAAAGATTTGGAGGGGTCTCATCTGGCAGACTGTGGAGGCCAGATCTTTGGATGGACTTTTCACCTTCAAACAAAATAGTTTGGTTCATAGACACAGCAAGCCTGCCACAGGCAAAACTGCCACTCTTTATACTTTTTCCCCTAACTTGTCTTGATTTTTAACTTTATCTAATTATACTTCAAAGATAAAATTAATTAGGCAGCAGCTAGATGGGGTACATGATAGGTGATGGGTGTGTGGTCAGTAACAGGGACATTTTACTGTTACAATCTTCAAGAACATCTGAGGCACTACTTCCTTTTATAGATTAAGAACCAGGGGTCTAGGGTCAAATTTCACGTATCTTTTTTTCTTTGAGAAAGGGACATGCAGTTCTCATGTTTGTCTTACTTGAGAAAAGTGAATATACAAAAATCCCAGAGTGCAGGGGCAATGAGTATTATGGTCATTTGCACTACATGGCTTCATGAAAAGGGGGGCATACTCTGAACCCCCTTTTGGATCTATCAGCCCCTCTAATGCACGCACTTGACTCACCAGTTTTGCAAAGCAAGGCACCCCACTAATTCTATTCTCCTCCCAACACCACCCTCCCCGCAAATAATCAAATGGTTGCTCAGCATTAATCTCTCTAACACTTTCCAGGGTAATTCTTTCAGTTGCCTGTTATGCAGAAATCAGTTGAAACAGTCAGAACAATAGTGGGGTTTTTTTTCCTCTGTAAAATCTCTAGACCAAAGCAGACAAACAGACCCCTTCTCCTGCCTCCTTCTCCTCTATAACCCACCCACACACCCCACTGGGGTACTCTCTTTCCAAGAGAGTGCAGGGGAGGGCTCTGACAGGTACCGCCACCCCAGATCCCTCTTCCCGTTTTAGTATTTTTATTCAAAACGCCAGTGAAACAGGAGCCAGTACTTATTTGGTTTATTTCTGTTTTTTTTTAAGCACAAATAACATTTCTTTCCATATAAATACAAAGTTCTATGAAAATATAGAAATTACAATAATCCTAGTCACTGCCCAGCAGGAACATGTTTCTTTGTCTAAAGAGTCAGAGATCAGATTCTCTACTTTAAAAAATAGGTTTTTCAGCCTGGTTCTGGGGCACTTTCAAACATTGGAAACTCTTTACCCTACAAACAAATCCTTTTGGAGATGACTTAAATATGCCAGTGATGAATCTCTAAACATCCCAGAATCGAGGCTATTGAACTAGATTTCAATACCAGGTATACAACTGTCGGTACACAAAAAGTACATAAATTACTTCATCAGATTGCAAAAATACATCAGATTTTATCTATAAACGTCCATCAAGTAATAAATTACTTACTAAAATATAAAAATAAAAAAGCTGAAGTGTGTTTCCTCTGATTCAAGTGTGAAATGCACATCAGTCCCGGTTCTCAGGGGCCACTGCCCGGGAGGGACACATGTCACTTGCCATGAGCAGACTGCAGAGTTCCCAGTATCCTGTCCCAGTGTGTGAAGTAAGGGGCGAAGTTGCAGTTAAACTGAGAGTGATGCAAGTCGTGGTGCGCCACACCCCCGTACCACCCAAAAGGTACCAGCTTGTGCGTGGACCAGGGAAATTCATAGCCCGAGTGGTCCTCCACCGACAGCCAGATGTTGACCACGTGGAAGACCATGACAGTGAGCGGGTGACACTGGAGCAGCGTGACGTTCATCATGTCAAAGAAGCCCAAGGATAACAGTTCCCAGAAGCTCATGTACTGCGTGGCCAGCGCGAAGGAGGGCGAGTTCTTGTGGTGCATCTTGTGAACGTTCCGGTACAGCCAAGGCACCTTGTGGTGCAGCAAGTGCCACGCGAAGACCTCGGTGTCGAAGAGCAGCAGGCACAGCACGAGGTGGTACACCAGCTGGAGCAGCTCCGGGGCTTCACGCGGCAGGAGAGCCGCGCCACCGGCCCAGTGCAGCAGCGTGGCGGGGAGCACGAACACCAAGTGCTGGTAGAGCGTCTGGCCCAGGCAGGGCAGCAGATGCCGCGCCGTGGGCAAGAAGTCGGGCTGGATCTTGTAGCACCGCAGCGCGGGCACCCAGGGGCACAGGACGTCCAGCAGCGCGAAGGGCAGGCAGAGCCCCAGGTAGACGGTGATGGAGAAGACGGCCGGGAAGAAGGGCGACTGCGCGAAGGCCTCCCGAGTCCTCAGGCGGTCCCAGACCGGCTGCAGAAACAACTGGCCGGAGCGACACAGGACGTGGGACTCGGAAGTGTTGAGGCCGCTCATGGCGAGCCGGTCACCGCAGCCGCAGCGAGGCTGGCGCCCCACAGCCTTTATTCTGCACTTGGCCCCGCCCTGGGTGACGCCGGGGCCTCTGGCTCCCTTCCCGGGCTGAGCGGGGCGCGCACAGACGCACAGTACTGCAGAGCCGCGGTTAGTGGCTAAAACACACATCCGCAGCTACGTTTAATGGGCTTTTATGTGTGCAACGGGAGTGGCACTTAGTAACTTCATATGCATGTGGAATTATGTCCTACTTTTTTTTAAATTAGTGTACAATTTACAAACGATGAAGTGCATAGATCTTTAGAGTTTCTACAAATTTGGACAATTCTACTCACCTGTGTCATCACCACCCCTAAACAAGATTGGGAATATTTCCTCTCCACCGGAAAGCGCTCTTTTCGATCAGAATTACTTGTCCTTTTAAATGCACACATACAACTCCGTCTATGTGTATTCATAAAATCGCTAGTATAACTGCATCTTCAAAAACTTTAAAGTGACATAACTTTTGTATTTCGGATCTTTTCTGTCTGCACACCTTGTATGCCTTTAACTAGCAGCAAGGGGCAAACTAACCTTTTGCGGGGGGTCCCCGGCCACGCGCAGCTGCGGGAAATCAAAGGAGACCGGGTGGCGGGGTCTCCGGAGGGGATCTATCCCCGCAGGCTCCCCGCAAGCGCCAGATCCCACTGCGAGGACCCGCCTGGGGAGCCAGCAGATCCGTGCCGCCGAAGCGCCCAGAGCAGCGACAAGAACTGCGACAGTCCTCGGCAGAAGAAGAGACTGCAACTGCTAGGCTTCGCTCTAACAACAACAACAAAAAGTTCTGGTTTTAACATCTAGAGTCGACGCATACCTGGCTAAAAAGGCGCTGCGTCTCAGGAAGAAGTGAAATCAGTAAAGCACCTACTTTGTTCCTTAAGGGGACATATGCGTGTTCCTGAAGCCTCGAGGAGCTGTTGGTTGCAGAGACGTGTCGCACTTACCCTGCCCTTCCCTGGGGTGTCTTCGCGGTGCCAACTCGCCCTTGGAATTCGCCTCCTATTTCCCCCAGACCATCCCGGGCGCAGAGGCAAACCGCAAGGCCCCTCTATCGCCGCGTTTCTCTGCGTTCCGAGTTCGAAGTGGACTTGACTGACGGGGACTGAGCATGAGAAGGTCGGTACTAGGAGAGCTCTGTCGAGACCCCCAGAGCTGCCTGCCGAGGGGGGAAAAAAGCCAGCTGCTCTCCCGACCCGGGAGGCCAACGCGCAACGCAAGGACCGCCTGCAGAATAGGTTGGGACGAAAACTTTGAAGCCCGGGACGCCGGCTTTGCCTCCTGTGTCTGTGAGGTTGGAGCCAATACTTCACTCCTCCAAACTCCCCACCCCAAGGGAAATAAATAATAGTAGCTACCTCATGAGCCTATTTCTAGCATTAACTAGGAAATTTAGAATAATACTGAGGCTACCACGTGACACCTTCGAGGCATTAGCTAAATGTTTTACTCTATTTCACCCAATCCGTGGAGGTAGGAATTGTTACTACAGCTGTGATGCTACAGGAATAAAAAAACAACGCCTGGCACACGGTTAGCATACAATATAAGATACACTATTTTAAATTCATACTTCATATTTTATATAAAGAACAGTGGAGAAAGTTTGCAATTAAAATCAAATAAAATCATGTAAAGAGAAGTAAAAGAAAGTCATATATTGTGAGGGAAGAATAAGTACAACAAAAATATAGACCAACATATTGGCCTAGAAATGTAATAATATATAGGATAGGTGCATATCCTAGTACATGATTATACTAGGTATGCACATGGTAATTTTCATAATATATAATTATAGATTAATATATAGTAGCATATAAGATATCTATGGGACTATACGGGTTATATAAGATGTTACACACACACACACACACACACACACACAAACCCTATAACAGGCCAGTTCATAATACAGAAACTTCCGATTCGTGTGTTTTCCAGAACTGCCACTGAAGGGTTATGGATATTCTTTAGATGCCCATTCTTGGAACACCAAACCTCTGGCCCTCCTGCAGACTTAAAAAAGAAACACACCTCAGTGTGTCCTAAGATTATTTTGATATTATGCTTGTCTGTTGAAGAGATAAAAGTTCGGAAGCAGCTTTGAGCAGCAATTTGACAAATACCAAAAAAGAAACATACTGGAGTTTGCTTATGTTTTGGGTATCTGGATGGTAGCAGAGTCAGGTACAATGCGGGCCCTTGGCCTCCTGCTCGTAGGGGGGTTTTCAGGTTAGAAAACCTGTCATTCCTAGTCTCCCCTTCAGCCTACACCATCCTCCAATTCACTCCTAGTGCAACCCAGGAACATGCTTCTATTTCCATACCTGGTAGATATCACCTTGTGCTTGAATTTTTGTATTGCATCTCAGAGAGAAGATGCAATACATTCTCCTCCTTTGCTCCTTTCTACCTGATTTTAAACAAATAAAAAGGTTTATTTGAGAATGACCTTGCATTATTCAATGTAGCATATGCCATTTACTAGGTCTTCATTCTTGAGCTCCCCCATCATCCAAAGGGACCATCAAAGCTTGCTTTCTCAGACTTACAATTGAACTCTGCTCAGAGGTAAAATATCACTCAGATTTGCCCTTAGCAGAAAGTAAGTCAACCTTCAAATTTCTGTCCGGCACATGCAGTCCTTTTTGTGTGGTCTCAGCAGTCATGCGTGCTTGCTTTGGATGCTCTCACAGACTTTCTTAAGTGGGTGGCATTGGCAGGTTTGCTTAATTGGGACTTAGCTATTAGAGTGTTGTTAGGACTGCCTTCTGTGAGCTCCCGGCCCCCACCCGCCTATTCTTTTCCTTCTTTGCTTTCTCCATCCTCTGTAGCTAAGCCTGTTAGAATCTTTCCCAAAAAGCCTTGTGCAGAAAGACCTGGGAGCCGTGGTTTTGGCATGGTTCACCCAGGCTCTCCCCTCTTACTCTCTGCACATTGGAGAATAGCCACCAGCTTCTCTGCCTCTTCAACTCACACAGCCACCAGGACAAAGGTTTGTGTCCGATGTATAAGTTCAACTATCTCAGGGCACATGGGCAGCTAAAATCGGACCAGCTGTCCACAGTGTTATTGAGGAAGCTGAAAAAGTAGGCACATGTTGATGGGTGATGCAAAATGGCATCACTTAATAGAGCCAAATAAAATCGAACCCTGTTTATTAATTTTTATTTTTTTAATTTTATTTGTTGATTTTTAGAGGGAGAGAGAGAGAGAGAAACATCAATTTGTTGTTCCACTTATTTATACATTTGTTGGTTGATTCTCATATGTGCCCAGACCGGGGTTGGAACACACAGCCTTGGTGTATTGAGATGACTGAGATCCCGGAAAAGGCATATTGGACCCTATTTAGTCTTGACTGAAGTGGTGTCATTTCTTGAATTGGCAAATGTGCACCTTTACACATTTTTAATTTACACAGAATTAACAGCTTGCTAGATGAATAGGTCTTTTTAGGGCATGGAGTATATCATCTAGAATTTTTTTTCTCACAGTGCCAAGCAATATACTTTGCACGTAATGAATGTTCAAAAGTTATTTGTGGGCTTAACGTACATTTTGAAAGATATTGTCTGTAAATGGAGGCTAAAAACATTGAACCTCTTTTTTAAGCACTGGCTATGTGCCCTGGAATGATCAAATCACTTTTTCTGAGAGTGCAACATTCAAGTCTATGCTTGTTTAATGCAATCTCAGTTATTTGGTAACAAGTCACCATAAGACTTAAGGAAAATAGAAAAGACTCCCCCCTCCAAAAAAAATTTTTAAAAGACCATATAGTTGACAAAGTACATTACCCATGACATAATCTCTTTTTTGTGTGACCTTCACAGTTGTTTCTTTCCAAAACGAGGTGAGACTATCAGCATCTATCTAGCCAAAGCAACCATTCCTGAATATCAAAGATGAGAAGTGTGGTAACATCTTACAACTGTAACTCATTAAGACGCAGAGAGAGCGGCTAATGTGACCCCTGGTTGTAAACATGAAAACAGCCTAAGAAAAGACCAGCTAGGGGCAAATAGCAAGTTACAGTGAAACCAAGAGCAAACCTGGTCAGAGTCAACTTCAGGATAGATGCCCCCACATCAAAAGGAGTTTTGGACGGGCCATTGAAGTTACATCTATAGGACAGTTTGCAAAAGACTCGGAAAACATGAAGTATCCATGAGCAAGCAGAGCGCTGACGAAGGATGTGACCCAGACGCTGAAGCACATTTGGTTTTGAACACTTGGTCTTTATATTTTTGATCCATCTGGGTGATCTGTAAGTGGGTGCTTCTACCAACATTATTGGAACTCTCACCAACTCCTCTAAAACGTTTAAAGCGTATAAAGTCATTCCTGTTAAGAGGCATAATATTACTGCAAGGCGGAGAAAATACTCACCTGTCAGAAGGGTTGCTGCAAAGATCAAAGCCGTTAGGAGAAGACTTTAAGGATCCAGAAGGCACCATGTAAATGTAAAGTATTTGTGTTAGTATTGCTATTTAAAATATGTAGACAAAAAATAATTTTCTGCTTAGTTTGAAACTGAACTTGAAATCTGCACCTAGAGTAATACAATAAATACTCTTGAATGAATTACTGGCAAATGTTTTAAATCAGAATTATTACAACCTGCTATTGCCTTTCAGGGGTCACGTTTTGAAAATCTCTCCATGCATTCAACTCGAAATGACAAGAATTAAAATTACAGCGTGTTTTAAATGTTTACATCGAACAAATTAAGACTTTTAATATCCACAAAAACATTGTTTGGAAATAATATCGACAATTTGGGACCTTTGTGAGTCCTAAGGTTAAAGACATTTCCATTTCCTCCCCCCCATGTCTGAGGTTCTGACTACACTGTTAGGCAAATTTTTATTTTCATGCTACTTTCGAAGACAGTTATTCTTTGAGAATATTTTTAGGTGATATGCATCAGACAGAATTAATCAGAATCCTACAAATGACCACAGATGTGGTGGATCTTCTCAGCCCTCCAATTAGAAACCGGTTCACAAATCAACAGTAGTTCTCTGCCTCTCCCCAGGGACTAGAGGAAGCCTCCTCCTGAAACGGTTTGGGAGTAAAGCCACGAGTGCCCCCCTGTGGCGAATTTAAGAAGTTAACCAATTAATTGTGTTCTCAATTGTGACTTCATTTGGTGGCTTTGCCCACATAAACACAGAACCTGAGTGTTCCAAGCTGGCAAATACGAACTAGTCTTTTCCTTGCTGTGGGGTCTGTGGACACCTTTGGCCTCAGACATGCTCAACAGAACATGTATCAGATGCAGTTGATATGAACGGTCAGAACTCCTACAAACTTGTTACCAAACCTCTTGAGTCACAAACTCCGACCCTGCTCTGCACTCTCAGCCAAAGATGACACAAAACTACATGGAAGGCACCCCAGGTTATAACCATATGAAAAGCCCTACGAAGAGCCTGAGCAGCTGGGTCAAGAGCGAGGCCACTGACAAAGCCCAGGGTACGTGTAACCCAACTGCAACAAGAAGAACTATGCCACATTGCCACCTCTAGACGGCCCCACACGCTGAAGAAAGATCCCCAGAGATTTGGGAAAGAGGAGAAAGAAAAACACTCCAAACGGGGTCCGCTCTACAGAACGAAGACCCCACTCTTCACTATGGTCTGCTGTGTTGGCGTTTTAATGGCCACGGGCTTTCAAGGGCATCTATCGGAGCCTCTGTGGCAGCAACCAAAGAGAAACCAAGTTGCCTGTGGCACTGAAGCCCTTCCCCAGTGAGCCCTGTCCCACTACTGGGGTCAAACAACAGCACACCCACTCACTGCCTCTATCTTCCCAGCCCAGCCAACAACCTCGTGCCTGGTTGGCCACAGCAGTTTGCCTTGGTCAAAGGAGAAAGAACTGTTCTTTTTGTGGGGGACATTAGGCCTGCGAGGAGTGGCATCCTCCCAGGGATGTACGTCCTTCACATCTGGTAGTTTTGCTCTTTTCTGCGGTTGCCACAAAAACACAGATGCCACTGCAGTCCTGTGCAGCCCCCGATGTTACATGTGCATCTCATTTTATTTCGCTACGTCCACCATTCTTCACACATCTTGTCTGTCTACACATTTACTGAGTCACTACAGTCTGGGCTGTGTATGAGATTTGGGGTAAGATATCTTCTGGCCTCAGGTCACAGAGTAGCAGGAGAGACCACACCAGACCCCCAAATCTAGGTGTCTGCCCCTGTGATGTATCTTGTCTCTGCCAGCTTCTGTTGCTTCATTTGTTCATGGAGGCAGTTGGATGGCCAGTCCTTGGATCCATGGTCCTGCCTGTAACAGGCCACTGCCTGCAGGTGGGGTCACTGCTGAGTCTTCCCTCAGCCTCACTCAGTGGCCCCTGCAGGATGACACCGAAGGCCAGCGCTTCCAAACTCTCCCCAGTGCCCCCCCGGGTTTGAAACCACTCTCTGCTCCCCACTGGAGAGGATCAAACGTTCACAGACAGTATCAGTGAGGTTTACCAGCAGTCAGCAAGAGGGAGAAAAAATGAGAAAGAAAAACACAAGTCTCACCAAAAGAGAAAGGGTAGTAGAAAATGGCTACTAAACAAACACACTAACACACAAACCTTCAAGCCTATGAGCCTCATGGAGTTTTATTAAAAGTTCAAATAAGACTCTTTATTGGTTACAAAGTAGTTATTATGCCGTTTCCACATATTAGCCAATATCAATTACCGTTTATTATTGCAGCTAAAATAACTAAATCAGAAAAGCATATCAACTGTTATTCTGTCCATCTGACAGGACTGTAAGGCTGTGAGAAAAGTCAGTGAACATGGGCTTCCGGACACAGGGGTGCAAATCAGGAGTAGTGAAAACACGTGCACACACAAAACTCAAACACAAAGCGATTCCCTGAGCTTTAATCTTAAGGCGTGCATATTTCTTTCTAGTGAAAATGGATTAGGACACTCCTCGGAGGCAGCCTCGGGGCTTCTGCTGCACACGCCGTCATCGCCGAGCTACACCAGCTGGTTGAGACAGTACCTTGATTTCAGGAAAAATAGTGGCATCATCTCTCCACAGCACGTTTCTTCTCAAACAAGTGGGCTTATGACCTGACTCACGATGAAGTTCATGAACACGCATGGTTGTGTGTATCGGTCTTCAAGTATTTAAAATACACCTGTTGTTTTTTAATGAGTGTAATTTGCTTTTGAGGACTGCAGCAAACTAATTTGCTTCATCTGAGGAATGTAAACTCTTGGTAAATAACAGCCATCACAGATAAGATTTGATAAAACTCATTACAGAATCTTTATAACTGACACGGCTGGAGTGTCACTGGATTTGACTCAGCACCTACTGCAGGAGGACACGACAGAGTGTCCTTTCGACCCCCGACACAGGGCCATTCCACTGGGCAGCCTCTCGGGGCCAAGCGATAAGAACTGGGCGCTTATATACCAAGTTTCTCTCCAGTCAGTCTCAGGTCATTTACCAATGAACAGCTCAGTCTAAACACTCCAACACAGGTGTCAGTGTGTGCTGTGTGTGGGTACAAAAAGAAATCCAGTGCATTTTAACTGGTATGGACAAGCAGAATGGTTATGACCTTTCACACATCAGTGACATTTTAGAAGACTTAAAGAAACCACCCAATGGTTGAAACACAAGCTGCGTATTTGGCCATGATTAAACAACACAAAAAGCAAGTGCGTTTCTAACCCTAACTGGAGAGACTTAGGTTATCTTCAACATCGTAATTTTCTTGCATATAAAAATATAAAAGGGCTGGGAAAGAAAAATAAGTACTTTAGAAAAATCAAGCCAATACATTTTGGACATGCTTCATTCGTTGACTTGACGATGGTGAGTGTGTCCACCTGGCTCTCACTGATACTTCCTCATGAGGTTCACAATCTCCTTATAGAGCTTCCAAGAGGCATCCAAGCCCCAGATAAAGTCCAGATGTTCCCACTCTGGAATGCTCTCGTGGTACACCAAGTTGGTGATCTGGGTCAGTAGGATGCCGATGTCCGTGGCATCCGCGAGCCAGTCCCGGCCCCCGCTCCACAGGGCAGTCGGCACAGCCATGTCTCTCACGTTGTAAGTGGGAGGGGAAGTCTAAGGAAAACCCAGAACACTTTGAGGTGGTTGTTTTAACTTACAAAAACGCAATCGACAGTCTCCGTTAAACACTGATAGTTCACTGAGAATAAAAGACTACATTCTGGAAATTGCTCTGTTTACTTTTCACATCACTTTACCCCAACGAAAAGAATCCTAACCCACAATGAAAGAAGAGTTACTATAGTAACGTGGTGGGCTTGGTAACAAGCGTTTAAATCCCCTCCCCAAGGAAGCTGTACTCACACGCAGTCAGTTCAAAGCAACAGGGCCAAGCAGCCGGGAAGGGGCTGTGGATCCACATTCTCCCCCTTCCCCTCCCTCTGAGGTGTAACACAAGGCACAGAAGTTCTCTGAGCCTCAGTGTCCTCTTGTTTGACCACCATCATCATCATCGCAGGGAAGTTGTGAAAATTAAATAAAATACGGCAAAGTGCCTTACACTTGAGAATACTCAGCACTCAAAAATGGTACATTTCTTGGTACACAGAAGAAAAGGCTTAGGCAATGTAATCTGACCAAGGCCCCCCAGCTACAGATGACAGACCTAGTTTTGTCTGACGCTTAAGTCTGTTCCCGACCAGTGCGACTCACATAGGTGACAGCTGGTACACAGGGCCGAGGACAGAACACAGAGGGAAGGCCTGAACCACAACACTGACCACCAAGTGCAGGGTGTTGCGGAACCGAACACTGTCTACCCAACTCTCTCAGGCCTTCCCCTAGCACCCAAGCCCAGGCAGGGGCCCGACAACTGACTTCCTTGATGTGTCCTCAGGGCCCAAGATTTCTAAAGACTTTGAAGACCTTACCTGGTTGTAATGAAAATAGTTCCTGGCCCTGCTCCCCCAGTCAAAGGCTTGAAACTTTTGTGATCTCCAACTCTAGAGAGAAGATAATTTGGGAAAAGGTTATCTGGCACGGATATTTGAGATAACATCATGGGTTGCTAGAACGAGCCACGTCCTCAGAAACCAATTCCACACCCAATGCTTGGACTTACTCTTCATTTCCAAGCTGTAATTGAAAATAAATGGCATTATTTTGCCCTCCTTTACGTAATGACTCGATGTCTCACCGTACGATTGGAAAGCAGCTACTGCGTGACCCGATAAAACAGCTAGACCCATGCTGTGAATTACACAGGGTGGGGCAAGAGTAGGTTTGCAGGGGCTGAAACACAGAGTTCTCTTGTGTTATTACTCATTAATTACTGAGTCATTTTCCATATGAACAACTGCAAACCTACTTTCTCCTCACCCCGTACTAGATCAATGGTTTCACGCCCATTGGATAAACTTTATGCTGATACTTTTTACTGAAATGTGACTCTTAAACTTTTCAAAGAGTTAACTATCTTATTTGGGAAAGATATATATTATATATAATATATAGGTTAATACATAGTTATGTGGATCAATAGGTATTTATATGGATTAATAAATATTTATATTAGAAAGTAAAAATTATATATCCCATATTTATATGGATTAATATAAACACTGTGTATCTACATGTGGATTAACAGTTATATATGCTTATACATAATCTCCATATTTTCCACGTATCCACTCTACTTGACTACTTACATTATTTTATATTTTATTGATTTGGCAGTTTTTCTTGAGTACCAGTATCAGCATGACCACCAAACTGTACGGCACACCAGCACAGTTCTGACTAGTTGGGGACGGCAGTCGCGAAATAACATTGTACATAAAGTTTAAATTTATGCATATATAGTATAATATAAAAGTATTAGCAAAAGTCAGTTATTTTTAAAATTTTAAGTAATGTAAATTCATACCTCCTCTATACCCATAAATTAAAAATGTCAAGAATTAAATCCCGAATTGGCAAGCCAAGTGAATTGGAAACTGTTCGAACTTTGGCCAGAGGACGGCATCTGGTAAAGAGGAAAAACCTAGATACTCTTTGTCCGGACTGCTTTTGATTTATGGGAGGTTTCAATTCTTATCAATCACACAAAACTCTGCGGTGCGATGTAACAGAAGACAGTGTGAGGTTAGAAACTGCAGGGACGTCTGTGGGAGAAATGCTAACATCTGCTTTTGCCGCTGCAAACGACCAGTTTTTAAAGACGTCGGCAGGTCCGACGGGCAGAAGAAAACCTGCGTCTGCGGCGTCTGTCAGTGCGTCTGGGCTCGGCTCTGGCTGCTGTTGGTGAAACAATATCCACGCTGTTTTGCCACCGCAGACAGTTGATCACTTACTTCCTCACGGTGTCTTTCAGCACTGATGAAAGCACCTGGTGTGAGCATGGAATATACTGGAAAAATTTACCTAGGGCTCAGACGGCACTTCTAAACTTGACTTTTGTGCTCAGAGTCATCACTCCCACTTTAGAGGGAGTCTCAGAAGGAGGGAAATGTGAAGATGAGTATTTACAGCCACAAGAACAGGGAAATAAGTTAAAGTCCAACAGTAGATGTTTGGTTAATGCATCATGTTACATCATTGTGTTGTAGCAGTATGCCACTTTCATAAATATAATTATAATAATATAGAAAGAGAACTATGGGTAATGTTTATAAATAACATTAAGTGGGGAAAAAGAAAATGAAAATGAACAAGTGCCATGGTTACACTTACATGACGGTCATATGTCACAAAATATCAGGAGGAAATACTCGTAACATCAGGCTATAGGATATAGCCTGATATAGGTTTTTAAGTGACATTTCAAAAATTATTTTTACATCTTGAATGGTAATGAAAATGTCAATTGGTTCAACTTTTCTAAAGTACAATACACATCAGAAGTCTTAAAGCTATGCCTGGCCTCTGACCACTAAGCCCACTTCTACAATTAGACCCTAAAAAATAATCTAATGTATAAGGAAACATCTTTAATTCAAGAATATTTTTCCCAGACTGTTTACTATTGCAAAAAAAAAGAAAAGGCTATCATAGCAAAAATAATAGTAATGATAATTATTATGACATTAATAATAATAATTCAAGCAAAGGAAAACTGTCCTCAGTTACAAATATTTAACATCATTGGCCTGAAAAGATATCTTTGATTACAGGAGAGACCCAAATTGCCCATTCTTGCTCTCTTCCTTAGTCCCTGATGCTTTCACTAAGCCCATGGCTACCAGGGCAGGAACCACATCCCTTCTGTGCTTCCTTCCTGTGGCTGGGACACACATGGAGGCCACCAGGCTTCCCTGGGATAGAAAAGGACAGCAGCCAGGAAGGCAGAGCCGCAGTGCAGAGGGAGCACCGCCACACCCCTCCACCGCAATCCTGGGCCGCTGATGTCTGGGCTGCATCCGAGAAAGACAAACTACTCAGAGGCTGTGTTTTGGCATCTCTGATTCAGCAACTTAGCAAATATAATGCTGTTTAATTTAAAAGATTTTAAGTTACCTAAACATGCACATAGTGTGATCGTACTTTTGTAATGAAAACACTTATACCAAAAAATCTATGCTGACCCTGAGCAAGTTCAGGACATGCCACCAAAAATACGCTGGTGTGGTCGTTTTAATTACTGGATTGAAAGGTACTTGCAAAATGGCAGATTCAAGGAGGGTACTCTGACGTTCCTTTTTCTTTCTAAAAGAGAGATATAAAATTCCCAAGTGAAAAAAGCCATCCACCCCTGTACCAGAAGGAAGAAATGTTCTTGTCACCAGAGACAGGGGGAAGCCTAGAGAAATTGCACAAAAAGACCTGGTTAAAATAACTCTTCTCTCCTTTAGTCTCTCGTATTTATTTTAGGTATTTTTTACTGTTGTTAACTCTTTGTTCAACCTAGTCCATAAGCACTTCAGCCTAGGCACTTCTTTGAGTCTTCGTTTTTCTTGCGCACACATAAATAGAATTCATGGGTCTTTCTCCTGTTAATGTCGTCCCTCAGTCCCAGACAAAAGCTTAAGAGGAGAAAGGTAAATTTTAACCGGCTCTACGACACCAACACTCGAACACTGCTTATCCCCGGTGGTGGACACATGGGGGATTTATTTTCTTCTCTGTACTCACATATATTTTTAAACTTCATAATGAACACATATTAACTATATAATAAAAATTATGCTAAATGTTGTTTTATAATGTTTTAAAGAGCCTACCCGATGCACATATTTTTTAGGCTACTAATAGGTTTCAAACAATGGAGAACATCAGAATCATATCAACTCCTTAAAATGCAGATCGCAAGAACATACCTCTAGGAATTTTAATTCTCAACAGGTCGTGGGCAGGCCCAAGAACCAGAATTTTTTATAGCATCGTAAGTATTTCTGAACAACCCTGTAGAGATAGATTAGGACCAGCCCTCTTCCAATAGCAGTGAGCCCTGGGGCTTGGGGCTCTGGCTCTGGGCACAGGGGCAAGGGAACTAAAGGAAGGTGGCTCTGGGGGTCGGGTCTCTAAAACTTGTCAGGTTTATAAATGGAATAAGGTTCATAAACTAAATTTAAAGCCCAGTAGAGAACTAGGTTTTGGACTGTCTAACCACTATGCTATACATCTGAAACTAATACAAAATAAAATTGAGGGTATACTATAATTGAAATAATTTTTTAATTTAAAAAGAGTAGAAAACAAAAAAATAAACATGTGCAGAATTACATGTAAAAAAATAAAAACTAGGTTTTGGCCCTGGCTGGTGTGGCTCAGTGGATTGAGTGCCGGCCTGCAAACCAAAAGCTCGCTGGTTCAATTCCCAGTCAGGGCACAGGCCTGGGTTGTGGGCCAGGTCCCCAGTGAGGGGCATGTGAGAGGCAACCACACACTGGCATTACTTTCTCTTTTTTTCTCTCTCCCTTAACCTCTCTCTAAAAATAAATAAATAAAATCTTTTTTAAAAACTGGGCTTTGGAACTGTTTAAAAACACAGAATTGTAATTACTTAAACCAACAGTAAATTTCTGAATGCACTATGAATAAAATGGCCTTAAAAAGCACCTCCAAACTCCTACCACAGGAACCCCCAAACGTCACAGCTGAGCTGCAGCCCTTGGCCTGCCAGCACCCAGACGCCACACCGTCAGCACAGCCTCTCCCAGGAGGCACCACGGCAGCCTCGACCAGCAGCGTGTCACTGACGGGCAGAGAATGGCAGCCCCGGCCCCCAGCCCAGAGGACAGAGAATCAAGGAGAAGGCCCTATGAGACAGCCGCACGAAACAACCTTTCTCAACAAAGAGATGGCACAGGGGAAAGGGGGCAAAGGGCAAGACTGCCTCCCACTGGGAATCTGAACTTGGGAAACGTTCCTGAGGCACATTCCAATGTGGTTAGAACCTAAAACCACAATGGGGCCCCAGAGCAGTGCCCTGAACCTCAGCCTGCAGACTTTGACCTCGGCCAGCTGCTAGATTAAAGGGGCCGGGCCAGGAACAGAAGCCTGGGTTGCAGCCGGCCACAGAGCTCTTCTGCACACCCAGCGCGTGGTGGAGGCCTGCCCACAGCGGGGTGCAGGAGCACTTCTGCACACGCAACAGCGTGGTCTGACAGTCTTGGCTGCCACATTCCCAAAGTCCCCTGACAGGCGGGGTCTGGCGGTCATTTGCGCTTTGCTGAGGCTTGTGGAATAGCACTCATGGGCTGCAGTGGTCACTCAGCTCGGTAGTTCAGCACCTGTCTTCCTCCTGGCCGGTCATCCTCCCTATGAAAGTGCACTAATGCCTGAGGTGACAAACTGGGCCTTTAAAAACAATGTCCACTAGGTAAGAGGGTACACAGTGTTCCAAAAGGTAGGGGCACTTTTGTGATAAGGCATGCAAAGAAGACAAGTGCCCATAAACAGAAACGTGGCTGAGGAGAAAAGCAGGAGGCCTGAGTGAACGACTGGGATTCTGAGAACTTTTCAAGGTTTCGGGACATTCCTTAAGAGGTGAGGGGTGCTCTTCAGCATATCAACTACTTGTATTCTCGGGGCCCCTCCTCTAAGCCACAGGAAACTGGCACTGGGTCACTGACATTTAACACAGGGGCCTTATCATCACTAGGGGGGCCAAAAGCCTCAGGCGCAGTCCTACCTGGTTCCTGAGAGACCAGCCCAGGCAGAGGTGACCTACAGCACTCCCACCTGAGGCAGGTCACCAAGCCGCTCAGCAGCAAAGGAGTGAACTGCTGACACACTCGACAACAGGCATGAATCTCAAAACAGCTACGCTGGGTCAGAGAAGTCACACAAAGCAAGTAGATACTGTATTACTGCGATTATAGAAAACCCTAGAAGATGCAAACTAACCTATAATGAAAGAGGAGATCGTGGTGGTTTGGGGACAGAGGTGAAAAGGATGAAGAGGGGGGTGAACAAAGGGGGCAGGAGAAAACCTTTGGGGTGATAGGTTCACTCTCTTGATCTTGGTGGTGATGGTTTCATGGGCATATGCCTATGTCAAAGCACGTTGAATTGAACACTTTAAATATTGTATGCTATGCCACTTACACATCCAGAAAGTTGTTTTTAAAAAAAAAACAAAACTAGAGATTCTACAGCCTAAATGAGTTAGAATCTCTAGGGATGGGGCACAAGAGCCTTTGTTTCTAAAGGCTGTGACTGTAGCCAATCCGACAGCTGCACAGCCAGTTCAACTCCCCTTGAGACAGACCAGGCCTCTCTCAGATGGGTGGGAAGGCCCCTCATTTCTTTTTTTCCAGTCCTCCCCTAGGATGTGTTTATTGTATTGAGGGGCAAGGAGAGAGCAAGAGAAACATCGATTTGTTGCCGAACCCCTGCACATGTCCCCACTGGTGATCGGACCCACCACCCAGGTTTGTGCCTGAACCTGCAACCCTTTGGTGCTTAGGATGATGCTCCGACCAAATGAGCCACGCGGCCAAGCGCCAATTACTCCCTGAGCCTCTCCTAGGTAAGATTAAGGTTTCGCTTGAGGACTCAATGCCAGCAGCCCAGGGGGAACCCGGAGAACAAAGAGATCCAGTCTGCTCACCTGCATGAAGAAAGAAAAAAGAAGGGTCCCTGTGCTCTCTGAGCCAGACCCGGAGGCAGTTCCCGAGCCGCACTCTCTACCAGTGCGGGCGTCCTTGATGCGGCGGCTCGCTCCCTCCACCTTTTTCCTCTGGGCCAATTCTTAGTAAACCTCTTTCCTTCTCAGTCCGTTTTGCCTCCTCTCTTGATTTCTCTGGGGCTGGAGGGGACGGGGCGGAGGCATGGCAAGAAGCCCCTTACTGTTCTTAAACAATATTTTCTTAAAGGTATACTTTTCAAGTAATTCTGACGGTTCTGATGCAGGCAGTGACGGCCCAATGTTCGGAAATTACTACCCAGGACACCCACTGCATCTCGGTTTGAAACTTAAAAGGTAAGTCATTTCTATGTAAAAACTGCGGGGAGGGGAATTGTATAAAAATAGTTTCTGAGGTAAAAATAAGGTCCTGACATATTAGGTTTTTTTTTAAAGGGCAAGTGACAAAAGAATAAGTAAGAGAAAGTAAATTAATATATTTCTACTGCACAACTATTATTTCTGTCTGTATCTTTAACCACAGCTTTTTGAAAGGACAGGCAGCAGAAGGTACAGGGTAGAACGCACAGACATTTCAGATTTCCGGATACACATCCTCTCTCTGTGTGTGCGATTAGAGAAGAATCCTATTTTTTAATCTTAAGTAAATTTTATTATTTGCTGCCTATGTGTAATTTCTGAACTTTCTAGAATGAACAGGCATTACTTTTGTGATATGTGGTAAAACAATCAAACTCTACTTTAAAAGTTAGTTGCTCCCATTTGCCTCTATGATTGCTTATCTATTGATGTTTTAGCATATTATGTTCATGGGCTAATGCTGAAATAGCAGCTTCTGTTTCCAAAGGGGCTCTAAAATCTTGTTTTATGGAGCAATACAGAAATAAAATAAATCTGGGGCCCTGGCCACGCAGCTCAGTTGGTTAGACTATTGGCCCAATATGCCAAGGTTGTGGGTTCAATCTCCAGTCATGGTACATATAAGAATCAACCAATGAATGCATAAATAAGTGGAACAACAATCAATGTTTCTCTCTCTCTAAAAATTTAAAAAATATATAGATAAATAAGGGACTTAATGAAAATCTGACAGAGGGGAGAGAAGGGGAAAGAAAAAAAGAAGTCAGCCCCAACAGCTGTTTGGCAAACTCACACATACAGTACAGTTGTGCCCGGGAAGAAAACAAAGCAACACACACACAAATCAGGGATCCGCGAATCAGGGGAAGGACACCAGCTCGGCTTTGTAAGCAGACTGTCTTTCTGTTTCCCCGGAACAAAAAAGTCTCCCAGACTGCAAGCCCCGGAAGGGCTTGGATGCAGAGACCCTTTTAACGCTGGTTTGACACAAAACCCCACTGCCCTGTGGGAATGCCTACCTGGCCCCAGTGCTTCATGTTCTGCACAGAGGTCCCGGCAGGAGAGTGTGTTATGTACACCGGCACTCTAGACTGGAAAACAAAAAGTGTTGAAATAAAGAATTTAAAAAATAGTGTTAAGAAGGCATTACTGATAAACAAATTTCATACTTCAAAGCATTAAACACCACAGAGCCATAATCTCAAGTATATGAGATTAAGAACAGGAAACAATTCTTTGACTATAAGTATGTCCTACAAAAATAGGAACAAACACCCTGGCTGGCGTGGCTCAGTGGACTGAGGGACGACTGCAAAGCAAAGGGCAGGCGCCGGGATTCAGGGCAGGTGCCGGGATTCAGGCCAGGTCCCCAGTAGGGGGCGCTCGAGAGCTCACAAACCACACAGTGATGTTTCTCTCCCTCACTTTCTCCCTCCCTTCCCCTCTCTCTAAAAATAAATAAATAATATATTTTTTAAAAAGCGGGAACACACATACACACGGAGCAACACGGTAACCAGGGACTGCATGGGCTGAGATTACCGCCCATTTTTATTTTCTTTATCATGCTTTTCTGAATTTCCAAAATTTTATATAACAAGCATACCTTACTTTTATCATGAAAAACAAGAAAAAGTATCATCACTTTGAAAACCTGCCTAGAACCTTCCAGAATATCAGAACCTGTTTTCAAGAGGCAACATTACACACTCACTACAAGTATGTTCAGAAACACCAGCCTGTTGTTGGCCGAGGGTTTACAGCTTATTAAATAAATAAATAAATAAATAAATAAATAAATAAATAAATAACGATTTCAAAATTAAACAATTATAAATATCGAGACCTAAGGGATGTGGAGATCCCCATTCAACAGCGTCCGTGCAGGAACACTGTTGGAGGTGACCGTGGCTGGCCTTGGACGGCAGCAGATGGTGTGCCAGGCGCTTGCTGAAGTTCGTTCTTGTGCCTCTGAAATGAAGGCCCTGTCAGAGCTCCAACGAGGCCGTTCCTTTCTCTCCGCCGTCCTCCCATACAAATGACCGTATTCGCAGACAAAACAAAATCACTGGACGTTTAAAGCAAGTCTTATTAGGAACAAACTTACCATATTTAAGTTTCTCTCATTGAACCCACACAGAAGAAACATGATATTTCCACAAAGCTCCTTTAGGACAACGTGATTGCAAACGTGAACACTCAGCCACTCAAAAACTTCACTCTGGGGTAAAAATTCTTTGTCTCCAAATAACTCCTGCCGAATAAGGAGAAACCCAAGGACACCTCAGCATTACGTCCTGATACACGGGCCCGCATGACCCACCCCCGAAGTGAAGGCACATGCTAAGCATCTCCACAGATGGCCTCAGGATAGAAATGAAAACCAGTGTATATTTGAACTGGAGTACTTATGCAATCTCAGTAAGGCAACAGCAGTTTGTTACAGGTGTGTGTTTAATGTTTCAGATGAAGAAAAGGAGGCAGAAAGTCAAGTAAATTCACACCAACTTTTAAAGGGCCTTAATGGCCACTCAACCCAGGGCCATCCCCAAAGAGTTTCATTGAACTTCAATAGGCTGGCAGTGACTCTGGAAGGGGGTAGGAAAAGTGTTTGGTCAGCAACGTGTCTGCCTAGGGCACACCCGTCTAATCTGATTCTACAGGCCAGTGTCCTGAATCCTGCCCACTGCTTACTGTTTGCTTTAATACTTTTTCATTGTGGTAAAAAGCTACCATTTTCACATGTTCCACTCAGTGGCGTGAAGTACATCCACGTGGTACAATCAGTGCCCCATTCCATCTCCAGAACTTTCTCAACATCTTCACCTGAAACCCTGTGCCCGCAAAGCAGTAACTCCCCATTTGTCCTCTGCCAGCGTGGCCTGCCTTTGCAAGTCAAGTTTATTGGAACACAGTCACACTCATTTATTTGCACAATGTCTCTGCCTGTTTTTGCACTATCGGGGGAGAGATGAGTAGTTGCAAAGAGACCATATGGCCCACGAAGACGAAAGTATTGACTATCGAGACCTTTACAGAAAAAGTTTGCCGACTGCTGGTCTACATCGGTGTGGCCAATGGCCACGGAACCTGTGCTCAAGTATTTCCAGGACAATCACTGTGGCCTCAAGGCAGATCTCTAAGTACTTCTCCAGCAGGAAATAAGAAAAAGATCTTCCTTACACTGAACCCACATTTGTCCCCTTATCGCTTACACTTTTTGCTGAGGCCTACCCTCTGGATGGACAAGCAGGAGTGAAAAATTCAAATGCCAACGGAGGCAGTTTTATGGATTGAACTGTGATCCACCCGCTACCACCGAAAAGACACGCTGAAGTCCTAATCCCCAGCACCTCAGCATGTGGCATTATTTGGAGACAAGGTCTTTACAGAGGTAATCAAGCTAAAATGAAGTTGTTGAAAGTGTATTCTAAGCAACAAGACTACTGATCTGATAGGAAGGGGAACTTTGGACACAGGCCCAGACACAGAGGGAGGTCTGAACAGACACAGGGAAAATGCCAGGTGAAGATAAAATGCAGAAACTGGGGTGATGTTTCTCTAAGCCAAAGAACACCAAGGAAACCACCAGGAGGCAGGGAAGAGTCAAGGAAGATTCTTCTTCACAATCCTAACAAAGACAGGTGGGCCTGTAAATGTCGGTGATGAAATGGCAGACAGCACGTGAAAACAAGCCGCCCTGTCCAGAGTGAGGATTAGGGAACAGTGAGGACAGGTGACTGGACCGCTTACGCTCAGCCTAAAGCAACTGCTGTGGCACACAGCTTCACCCTCACCCCGGAAAAAAATCCATCATCAAGATTTCGTGTTAAATAGCCTGCTTTGTAAAAAAGGTGCAACTAATTTAACTAAAACATTGCATGAGCCACATTCAACACTCTTCAGGCAAATCTGGTCTACTGCCACCTGTGATAAATCCTCGACAAGGCAACCAATGGCTCTCTAAAGACAGACACCAGGTCTCCTTAAAGGCTCCTTTTCTCCAGATTAATCGCACTAAGATTAGCTGGGGAGAATCGGGAACTAAGTACCACAGCAGAGAAGAATCACAGACCACGGAAAGGCATCAGTTTCCAAAACTCCTGGTTTTGAGTGCACATAATAGTCACATGTGACAAATGTGATAAATGTACGTATTTTCGAGGTTCTACCTAACAGTCATATGTGATACATGTGATAAAACTTTTGAGCCTACATAATAATCACATGGGATAAAAATCCTGGTTTTGAGTCTGCATAAGTCACATGTGATATATGTGATAAATGTATATATTTTTGAAGTTGTCTACTAAAAACAAGTTAGTAAGATCACAGACTTAAATCACAGGAAGCCAAGCACTCCTTCCGACTGACAAAGAAGGGGAAGTTGTCTTGTACTTAGGACTGTCTCCCAGGCACTACTGTGGCAAACTCCACTAATCATTACGGCAAAGCAGGATGGCATTACAGAAATATTCACCTTACATTTACAGGCCTGCTCATGTCAATTCTGATGTCTTATAACATATACCTTTGCATTCTGAGAGCTGTGATACTCAGCTTTCATGGAAGCAAGATATATATTCAGGAACAGCAAATTCCAAGGTTTTATGAACATAACCTCAAAGAACAAGGTTTTCTTTTACTTTGTCACACGAGCAGGATATAATAAAATACCAGTGTCTGGAACAGTAATTCCTAAATACCAGTCTGTTTGGCCTACCTTCAAATCAGGTAGGGGGCTTGGTAACACCTCAGACCCTGGACCCCACTCCAGATTTCACGAAACACCATCTCCAAGGCTGGGGGAGCAGGGGGCAGAATTTGTATGTTTACAGAGCTACTAAATCACAATCTCCAAAGATGAAATTAAACTGAAAACATTCCTATGACACAGCAATTTCAGTTCTCCCCCAAAAGGGGGCACAAGGATCCAGCAACAGCAAATTAGCAAGAACCTAACTATCCACCACAGGCACCTGGTTTAATAAGTAGTCATTCTTCATGGTAGAAAACTTACTACGCAGCAGTTAAAAAGAATGATGGAGTTTCACGTTTTAACTTAACAGTTCTTCAAGAGTGAAAAATGCGATCTGCAGAAAATATGCATAGTTGAATCCTGTCTACATTAAAACAAACCAATATACTTCTCTCTGGAAATTCACAGACAAGGTCTATAGGAAAAAACTCTGAAGTGAGCACTGGGCTTAATTATGAGGAAGGCAGTAAGAGAAGCTGAAGTAGTTAAAGAGTATTTGTACCTCTGAATTGTTCATAATGAAAACGGAGGCTTCTGTTACCCAAGGCATTACAGGTTAATTTGGGGGAGTCACATCTTAACTGCATGTCTGGTCCCCTTTGCAGAGACCCTCATCTTATGTGAGAGTCAGATTCTAAGTTCAGAGTACAGTCTGTATTTCTTGTGAAAGTAAATGGCCAGTACATATGTTATACCTGATTTTAAGTACACGTTCCTGAATGGGATTTAATACCCATGTCTATATAAACGTACCACACATAAAACCTATACAGTGCATGCACAGCGGACCATCTGGCCTCGGCTGGCTCTCAGCTCCTCACAAAAACTGCTTCCTCCTTGAACAGAGCCTGGGGGGTCACATACTTCTAGGGAGAAGCCCCCATGAGGTTACTGGCTTGTGTTTAGCGGCCACATTATAAAATATAATGGGAACAGTGTCTTTAGATTGCCCTCAGTGTGGTTGGGGTCGGGCGTGTGGGAACAGTGCACTTCCTTCTCCCATCTCCAACCTGTTCCTATACACCACTCACTGCGCAGAATAAAAGGTAACTCTCAAAAGGTTTAACGTCTTCTCTCCCAGACTTTCTTGTGCTCCCTTTGTGTGATTGGGGGAGATTTGCACCTTCCCTGACTCCCCAGGATCTGGAGGAAGGAGTGAAGAGGAGAGCAACCATGGAGAGAAGAAATCCCACTTTCCGTTGATAGCAAAACACAGAGGAGAAAAACACAGATTCTCCCTCTAATGGCCAGTCTCTCAGATCTGAAAAGGAATTGGGGGTGGGGTGGGTTAAATACCTTAATGACAAGGTCTGGAAGTCCTAGTATTTTAAGAAGAGGGCTTGTAGAGAACCTGATTGAAGTCACAGGAGCCAGGGCAAAAAACATTTTAATCTTTTTGGCCAGTGCTGGGATCCGTGTGAATGCTATAAAACCTGTGGGACAAAAGAAGGCGACAGGAATTTGATCTTCTGGAAGGAACTGTCCAGGAAAAGGTAAGAGCAGTCACACGTGTCGCCTTCTAGTGGCAACATGAGAAACATGCAAGCAAACACTTCAGATGGGGTTCTCTGAACTTTTCTATGCAAAACACTGAGTTTGACTCAACTAGTAAATCAAGTATTCCTTACGTGATTGTTTCAATATTTCAACCTAGATACTCACTGGAGGAAATCTAGGTTGCTAAAACCAGATGTTTCTTGTTTCTCTAATAATGTAAACCACGCTAAAGAAATGCTGTATTCCTAACAGCTAAGTCCCCACCACCCCCATCCACCAGTGACCCTCCCACAATCCCTAAGACCAATTTATAGAGGCATTCAAATCAATCACCAACAACTCAGAAAAGACTTACACAGCTCTAGCATTAAAGTATCTCTTAGCTTCCTCTCAGGTGACTGCTAGCCTTAAACGTGGCTCCAGAATATTACTATAGAAAGCGGTGGGGCAAAGGATGTTCAGTAAACAAGTCATGGAAGAAGAAATATAAGTGAAGAATAATGCTTAACTTAATGAATAATAAACCAAAATGTGTCCACATTAATGTTTGTTTGTGGCCTCTCAAACTGGCAAAGAGTGTTCGCTCGGTAGTGAGGGTGAGGCCATTTAACCAATATATATCAAGACACTTAAAAGCATTCATATCTTCCATAGACTAATTCTCCTTCTAGGAATGTACCCTAATGAGACCATGTGATATGAACACAAAGCTATTGGTTATAGTAACACTAAGCCCTGACAAGTGTGGCTTGGTTGGTTAGGAGTTGTTCCAGGGAGCGAAAGGTCACTGGTTCGATTCCCAATCAGGGCAGATGCCTCAGCTGCGGGCTGCATCTCCAGGAGGGGTGTGCAGAAGAGACAACCCAGGTACAGGAACGAATAGATGTTTCTCTCTCACACTGATGTTTCTCTCCCTCTCTTTCTACCTTCAGGCCCCCTCTCTAAAAATACAAATAAAATCTTTAAATACTAAAAGGGGGAGTTCTTTAAGTTACAGGACAGTCTCCCAATCCCTACTCAGAGGAACACGTGTAGAATTATGGGCCATTTTTATGTTCTTTAAACTTTGCTAATTTTCTATTTTTGTTTACAGTGAACACACATTACTTTTATAATCATCACAAATAAAAATGCATATGACTTTTAAAAACGATTTATTGAAAAAGTGCAACATAGCATCTTTGTAGTTAGCTTCACTCCACTTAATGTTAAAAGTTAGTGTACTTTCTTGTTTTCTTTTTAAAAGCCTCTGCACTTACAAAACTTCTTGTTTTCTACACTCTCACATCCCCATATTGCTTAATGAGAAAAATATGTAACAGGCTGTGGCTTACATTAATTCCTTTAAATTCAAGAGAACCACAAAACACGTTTATCCATTCATATTAAAGCCTGAATTTCCAGAGAAGACAAAATATTACCAAAATTCTTAGGCTTTGCCCTAATCATTACTTCCACTTGATATTAAATAATAATAATAATAATAATTAATAAATGTCTGTTTGAGCTAACATTTTTTATATTTTACTTTTCAGAACAGATGCAAACTGTAGTAATACATGGCATCAACTTCCGATCTTTATTTCATACATACCTATCGTGGTGCCTTGGGAATGACCCACATAATACACTTGCTTTTGGCCAGTTTTGTTCAGAACGAAGTTAATGGAAGCCGGTAAGTCATACATTGCCATCTCATCAAAACTGCAATCCAAAAACGGAACTCTTTCACTGAGACATTGCAGCAAATACAACAGCACACACATAGTAAGCATGCAATGTGACCCCTTATCACAAACGAACACAGCTGCAGGAGACCCACTGAGTGCAGGAAAGAGGATTCCCAGGACTGCAGGAGCCCCAGGGGCCCCTTCCAAACGTGACTGACACCGTAGATGAGTTCTGCCCATTTTTGAACTTTTCTATAAATGGGATCAAACAGTACGTATTCCTCTACATTAGGCTACATCCAAACTGCCGCACATAGTTGTAGGCTGTTCGTTGTATAAACATACCACACTTCATTTGCCCATTCCTTGCTAATGGGCATTTGGTAGTTTCCAATTTTTCGCTATTATAAATAGTTGTTGTACATGTCATTGGCAAAAGCTCTCATTCTGGCATTTCATGGCCCAAGGTAGGCTCTGGCTTACACCTGCAAAGCAAGACTGGAGGATCCATAGCCTGCTCTTCTCTGCACCTGGTATCAAGACAGAGCCCCGGACCTGCGCGCAGGAGAGCATATTTGTCACCAGGACAGTGACGCGCCAACTGCTGCCACCACCCATGATGGTGTGCCAGGCTCTTCCCTGGATCCCCTCTTTTAACCCCCCAATAACCTTATAAGATAGGTATTCATTACCCCCATTTTACATGAAGAAAACTCAGACACAGATGGCTCAGGTGACAGGCCTGAGGGCACGCAGTGATGAATCAGCAGAGCCAGAAGCAGAGGAGAGGAGAGGAAAGTTTCTGAGTACAGAAGAGTGAGCATTTGGAATGTGTGTGTATAAAGGAAGGGAGAAGGTTATGGGACACAATTAACTCAGCAGCTCCCACACCACCAGGAATATAAGCTAAAACATTTCCGATTGAATATAAATCTCAGTGTACTCATTTACTTAAAATTTCCTCACTGCTATTTATGAAATCCCTAAAAAGGCTTCAAACCTTTCATGATCCATCAGTCTCCTTCCATATGAGCCCGAGTTGCCCACCCACCGGCACCCCGTGTGTCTGTTGAGAGCACCGGGCAGCCCCGTCACAATCAACTCAGAGATACCTGAAGGCCCAAAACTCTTCCTGAAGAACCGAAAGCGTCTTGTGTTGCCGAGCCCAGGTGTTGCCCCGGCTGTTCCCCATCCACACGTCAAACCCGGCGTCTGCCAGGATGAAGCCCAGGCTGTTGTTGGGCAGGTTCAGGACCCAGTTACTTGAATCTGCCAGGAAGCCGTGCTGCAGGAACACCACTGGCTTGGGACCTGAAACACACTCGTGTTTAGGAGTGAGCAGCACCTCCCTTCAAAACCAGCAGGTAATGCATAAACCACCCCAAAGCAAATAGCGAAATAGAGAGGAGTTAAAATATTGAGGTGGCAGTGTACTTGTATATAACATTACTGCAGAATTTTTTTTATATAGCGCTAGCAAGGTAACAGTGAAACCAGAATATTTTTGCACATCTAGTAACAAGACACACTGACTTAACCATCAAAAAAAATGTTATATATTTTTAAGCACTTATGAAACGTTTCTATATTTTTCTCCAGTAGATTTCTCAGAATGCATCTTAACAAAACTAACCAAAAAGAAAAACATATCTCACACACACAAATTCATAAATATTTATACACATATATTCATAGATAGATACACACCTATATATTTATATGTAAATTTATCTCCTACTCACCCACCCCTGAGATAATGATACAGTAGAAAAAACAAAGACTTGGGAGTAAAAGAAACCTGACCTCCAGCTGTTTACACTGTGTTAAGAACATTCAGTGATTCACTAAACAAACATTTATTGAGCACCAGCTGCACGCCCAGCACCTCAACGGTGTGCTGGGGACACAGCAGGGAATAGAAGCAAGTGAATAAAGGAAAAAAATCTCATCCTCACGGAGCCAACATTATACTGACCGTGAGTTTGAGAGTCAGACACTCCTGGTTCCAATCTGTCCTTTGCTGGTTCTGATGTGCCATCTTGGGCACAGGGTTTCAACATCCCCTGAAACTAATATCATCCCCATGCAGAATGGAAGTGTAACATGCCCCTTACAGGAAGTGATGAGATATGAGATATGATATGAAGAGTTCTGAGAAAAGTGTCTGGCACACAATAAGAGTTCAAGAAACATTAGCTCACATTATTAAGTCACTTAACCAGTCTCAGTCTCAGTTCCATAAATAACCGTTAGGAGGAATAAATGAGATAATTAAGTGTCTGGTAGAGTGACGGACACATAGGTCAAAATAAATAAGAACTCCCTTTGCCTTCCATTCTTTACTATAGTGAAATCCCAGGAATAAGCTACTGGTTGAGCGGTCAAATCACTCACGGCCGTCTGACTGGGGCCCTGGCAGGGACTGCGGCGGCAGAGAGAGACACTTCTGGCAGAGCTTAAAGGGGTAAGAGGAGGAAAGTACAAAATCAGGGACTACTTTGCACTGCAGCTGTGCAGCAATGATGTATGCAAATGAGAAGCATAAAATGTCAAAGAAAAATGAGAAGACTCACTGGACACTCGGGTGGGAAGTAAACCAACAAATTTATTTCTGTTAATCAGATTTTCTTTGCCCCTTGCTGAAGAAAGCTGACTGCAATAATACAGAGATAGTATCGCGTACTTGTAAGCTCTAAGGTGCTGTGGTGAAAATCCCGTGAAGCTGGCACTATTCTCCTTTAGCAGACAGGGAATTGTGGCTAAGAAAAAAATAATTTGACCACTATTAACGGAGAGGTAGTAAGTGTGGGAGCTGGGACATGAATTCAGGCATACCTGATACCAGATCCATGATCAGAAACGTGTTGGTATAGGAAAGGACGTTAGCTAGAGAGAAGTCATTCTACAGCATCCAAAAAGTCATTCTACACCACAAAGAATGACAGCCCGTAGAGGGGAAGCTATCTTGGAGGGAGCTGAACAGAATGCTTGGAAGAAAGCAATCTCTACTAGGTGGAGGAGATAGAGAATGGGAGACAGGGACATGATACTCGACCTTGGCTGCTCAGGCAGTTCTTCCGAGGACCAGCCTGGCCCACGCACTCCAGCCCCCGAGGCCTGGTGTGTCTGAGCAGCAAACCAACGTGCCAGGGCCAGGGCTGCCTTCCCTTTTGCCAGTCGACAACTGGTTTGTTTCTCCCAAAGTGGCTCTGGGAGAGCTGGGAAGTGACCGAAAGAAAGTCTCAAAAGCACCAGAGAGGGCAAGTGACATTCTCGTGGTCACCTAAATAGCCACAGAGCCGGCAACGACAGGAAAACCCATGATGGCCCACCACAGTGCTGCCCGCCTGATTAGATCCGAACGTGGGTGGAAGTGCAGAAGGGACTGGTCAGGTTGTGAAAATGAATCTGCTGAGCCCACAGTCTCACAAGAGGAAGATGACAAGTGGATGGGGGAGGAAGATGATGGGTGGACAGGGAAGTTGCTCCTACTTCCCAAGCCACCGGCCTTCTCCACCTGGTCAGGCCACCACTGGTCAGACTCTAAAATGGTGTGAGAAGTCAGCTGATGTGCAAGGGAGAACTAAAAGAAGAACAAGGAGGAGGTCACAAAGATCAAGGCGCTGGCGTGAAATGGATCTTGTTTCTTACTAGTTGAGAAACCCCGTAGGATTTACTCAAGCTCTCTGAAGTACGGATGCCCTTTTCAGAGTGGGAAGGATACCACAGCCGATACATGGCAAAGCTCAGGAAATAGTGACTCATAAAAGCAACACTGAATGTACAAATGTAATAAAATAATATTAGAACAGAAGCACAAGCAGGAGGGTCAGAGTAAGAGAGAGACAGAAAGATGCTACACTCTGGCTTTTATTAAAGATAAAGGATGGGGCCAGAAGCCAAGGAATGCAGGCGGCTTCTAGTTGCTGAAAGAGGTAAGAAAACAGATCTCCCTTAGAGTCTCCACAAGGAACATAGTCCTGCCAGCACCTTGATCTTTGGCCTCTGACCTCGAGGACTACGGGATCATAAAATTGTGTTGCTTTCAGGCACTACATTTGTGATGGTTGGTGACAGCAGCAACAGGAAACTAATTCAGCTGGGGACCAGTATGTACCCCCATTTTTCGTATAATGACTCTGAGGCACATTGTGGCCAAGCAATCTGTTTACAGTCATACAGCTGGCAATCTCGAACCAGGACTCTGAGGTGGCACTATGTCTCCTCGGCCTAAAGAAGAGAGAGAGCGCTGGCTCCTTGTTAGTCTAGCAGGAGTCTACATAACCTAAAATCTTTTAGGATCTCCTAGGAGATAGACTGCAAGTTGCATAAGAGCCCACCCCCCGCCGCCCCTTCTGCAAAGGCAGGCTCTAGACAAAATGGCATCGAGGACTCAGCCCATTCATCATACATAAGCGTTCCCACCCCTCCGTAGTGAGTAACACAAAGCCTGAATTCCTCCTTACTTTTGACCTTCCTGCAATCACGCATGGGACCGAACAATTCAGGGAAGCTCAGCACCCAGCAAAGTAGGCCCTTGGCTCGCACAAACCCGAAGTCCTAGGGCTGGCTCAACCATCCCTTTTGGGTTGGTTTTAGGTCACCAAAAGCTTCAGGGCCTGGGAGGTTCCTGAACCTGCCCCAACTACTTAAGATAAACCTTAGCAAGCATTGGCACCTGGCTGATGTGTAGATATGAGCACCAGCATTTGTGCCAGCACTTCATTTCACATGAATTATACTGTTACAGGAGAGCTGGTAAGATCCATCCCATGTTCAAGATAAGGTAACTGATGCGTGGAAACAGAAATCAATCCTTTGCCCTAGAAGACTCACCTCACAGAGAGCCACAATTAAAACCCAAGTCAGCCATGTTTCAAAGCCCTTGCTTTAACTACTAGAGAAAAATTCATTAGAAAACAAAGCGGTGGGAGAGACGAGGTGGGTTTATGAGTGTTCCAGCCAGTTCCAAGAAATGCAAGCACTATTTCCTCAAACTGGCTGCACATCAAAATCACCTGGGGCACTCAGAAGACATACACATTCCCAGCCCCAGTTTTGATTCAAGGAATCAGGAACCACAGGGACAGAACATGGACATATTTAGTCTTGACACGCCCCCGTGGCTCTTCTGGTGCCGCCCCTCCACAGGTGTGTTGGAAGCGCAGTCATCTAATGGGAGCGTGCTCAGCCCTCCAAGGGCAGTCCCCGAGGCATCTTTGCCAAGTTCAAAACGCCTGTCTGTGCACACTGAAGGCATTTATTCATATCCCAAACGCCATCAGACACAACAATTTTCAGATACTGTGGTGCTTTACTTGCTGATTGCTTTATTGGACAATTTATATCCCATTTAGGCAAGGAGCAAGTCTGCCTTGTGGCTGTTTATGTACTTCGGCCAAGGCCTATATGCAGTTCCTTGTTTTAGCCAAATGAAGTAAATAGACTGTCACGGGATTAACTTGCTCAATATTTATTACATAAAGCCACATTCTGTAGTTTAAAGTATACTGACTCAGACTGGCCAGCCCATCATCCTTTGCCCTCAAGCAAATCCCTTTTCCTCTTTGAACTTGGCTGTATCACCCGGTAACATGAGGGTATTGATCTGGAACACAGGTTCTCGAACCCAAAGATTTTGCCTCAGAACCCACAGGCCAGTATGTTAACAATGGAAGCTCTCTGAATCCTTGCCCAGGTGGGACTCTGCAATCCTTCTAGTGCTAACATCCCGTGCCTTTCTGAAATGAGGCTGAGCAGATAAAAACAGAACCACTTCGCTAAAAGTGATGAGCTTCTGAATTTCAATTCCCTTATAGAGTTAGTGCAAAGCAGGGTCAACACTTGACAGAGCAGTTTGCTCAAGGCTGAGAAACAGCACATACCGCACAGCTCACCGAGAGTTTTCTGAGAAAGTGTTCTTGACCGGACATGAAAATGATTGTCCGAATCGGGATTCTTTGCTTGTTCCATAAACTCTCTACATGTACAAATGAAATCTGTGTGTGCACAGGTGTCTTTCCTTTCACTAGAGAGAAGGCCCATTGCCTACACTCAGTTGTGTACCCCAGTTCAGAAGACTGCCTGGTATAACTGCCACTCAGGCGGCCACGCAGCAGACATGGTGCTGCTAGTCACTATGAGGGACACAAAGATGACAAAGACACAGCCTCAGCCTTCAAAGACTGAGGGAGGAATGATGCGGAGAAAGAAGTAAAGACATAAGTCAACCCAAAGCAAAATAAGAAAAGCACCTCAAGAAGGGTGTTAGCAAAGCTGTTGGGAGTTTAGAGAAAGTGTGTGTCTCCTTCCTGCTTAAGCAACCCGGGAGATTTGGCAGTTACGCTGGGCTTGGAAGGATGAAAAGAATTTTTTAAGAGATGATAGCTGGGGGTGGGGAAGTTAGAGGGTGGAGGGACTGAGCAAAAAGGAAAAAGGACTCATGGACATGGACCACAGTGTGGGGATTGCTGGGGGGAGGGGCGCACAAGGGGACTAAAAGGTAATGGAAAAATACAATAAACTTAAAAATTTTTTAAAAAGAAGATAGTAGGCAGGATGAGCAATATTCCAGAGGTTGTATTCACCAGGTGAAGGCCAGGGAGACCTTAGCAAAAAGGAAATAACTCATTTGGATTTGAGAGTGTCAGAAAGTAGTTCTGTAATACTCATTAACATAACAAATGCGACTTCAATTACATCCTTAATAATTCGGCTATAGTGCCAATTTAAATCTGTACAGTTGGTAAGAGATAAATGTTCCTTAGATAACGGGCGAACACAGCTAGCAGCCAATAGTTCTCAAGCACTCCTCATACACCCGCAGCATAGGCGTCCGACCCCATCCTACAGAGGTGGACGCCCTAGAGAGCACAGCCTAGGACTGTACCCGCTAACTTGGGGAATCCCATCCACGGTGAACTCCAAAGGCCTACTGCCGTACAAAAGGGGGGTGAGCAGTATGGACAACCTCCAGGACAGAACAGAGTATTAAGGGGAGGTGTACATCTTCATTCCGCAGGCCCCTGTAGGTGTAGAACAGCAGGATCAGGTAATTATGCCAGGGCTCTGAGAAGTTCAGTCCTGCAGGACTACACAAGATGAACGGAAACTGCGAGGCTGGCAGAAAAGACAGTGGTCGGCATGTGTGGAGGAGCCAGTGGCTAAGCCCTGGGATCATAAAGCCTCCAATAATCTCCAGATGAGTCTCTACACACAACCAGAGGGCCACTGAGACAGACTGAGGGATGGATGCTCACCGCACAGCTGCCAACTCTGCTTGTGGCAGCACCACAGTGCAAGCAAAACACTGAGGAAGAAAACACTTTGAAAAGGGTAAGAGGAATGGTTTCACTATATCTTGCAATGATTTATAGATAGTATAGATGTATGGTGTTATTTCTGTGTGTATTAAAAGCACTAATTTCTTAAAAGATAGGCAGACTGAATATTTTCATATTCTTGTTTTGATATTCTTTCTTTTTTTAATATACGGGAAACCTTAAAAATGGAAGTGGCTCAAGCCCCTTTCGGGCTCTGAGTTTGTCTCAGGGGTCCGGTGAAATGGCAACGAGAACTCCAGGCAGAGTGGTGGCCTGGCGGAGCGAAGGAAGGGGTGAACTGAAGCCCTGTCTCGTGGGCACCCTGGAGGGGACCTGACGGCCACTTGAAGATGGGAGTCAGGAATGATTCTGCAGTTTCTGGTCCAGGTCATGCGGAGGGTGATGGTGTTATGAATAGACGAGTGAGTCGGGAGAGGAAGAGGCATGAATGAGAAGACCAGGAGTTCCGTGTGAAGGGCTTTATGAATTCGTCTGCTTGGCGGGAATGAGCCAAAGGAACAGCACGGACAGCACTGTTCCTGACTACGAGTGGAGGACAGTGAAGAGCTTCTGCCTTGGACCATGAAAATGCGAACCAGCCGTCTGAGAAAAACCCAGGCGGAGGTCAGGAAAACCATGGGCTCCTTTAGATCCCTGAGTCGCTTGTCACAGATTTCCTCTAAACCCCGCTCTGAGCGCAGCTCACCACAGCTGTTGCATAAACACCACCGAGGCCTCTGAAGAACAGAAGAGGAAGGTGGGAACCCACTGCTGTGGCCAAATGGAGGGTACTTTCTGTTCCCTGTTTTGAAGACCAACATTATCCCCACACCTCTGCCAAAACAAAACAAAATACCAGTAAAACAAAAAGAACATAGAATACAGCCTATAGAACCAGAGAGTGATAAAGATGGAAGGGAAACAGCCGATCGACTCTTTTTACTGAGGAAGAACCCTAGGCCCACAGATGTGAGACCACCCGAACACTTAGGGGCTGACACAAACCTAGCAATGAGGTCTCCTAACTTTTCTTCCTACTCCCTGGGAACGAATCCAAAATCGTGCTCACTCTCTTCATATTCCGGGCCATAGTACCTTCCTCTGCAATAGTCTCGATACATACACACAGGGTCTGTGGCTCTACTTGCTTTAATTGCTACATGGACAGAAAAGCTTGGAGGCGGCAATAAGGCAAAAAGAGGAGGCACAGTCTCGAAACTTGCTTTTACTGGGTATCCCTGCATCTTTTAACACTGACTCACATTGCTAATTATACTAGTCAATGAACCACTTTTAAGAGAAATAATATCAATACATATTTTTCTTTATATAGGATTTGAAGTCAGTGTACAGGGTTTACTTTAGAACGAAAAAAAAGAAAAGAAAACAAGCTCATATGATCACTGTGGAATGAAATACGAAGTTTGTCTGGAAAAAGTCCAGCCATTGTCGATATAACGAGAATGGTTTACACAACATTGATGTAACCTGGCAGCCAAGGAGAGTAGACCGGAATGCAAATGTGTGAACAACGACAACTTCCCTGTACTAGTCAGTGGGGACAGCAGATGTCTTTGAGTGAGCATTTGTATTGTGTGGCATTGCATTCAACATGACTGCATCAAATTTTGCATTAAGCTTGAACATTCCTCTGCAGAAACTATTCAGGGGATTCAGAAGGCCACAGCTACGGACAACTGGTGACTGGCAGCTTCATCACGACAACGCACCCACGTACAAATTAGGTCTTGTGCGGAGATTTTTGATGAAACATCAAATCATCCAGGTGACTCAGGCTCCCTACATCCCAGTGCAGAATTGGTGCCCTACATCTTCTAGCTTGTCCCAAAACTAAAATCACCTTTGAAATGAAAGAGATTTCAGATCACTGTTGAGATTAAGGAAAATATAACAGGGCTGCTGATGGTGACTGGGAAAACTGTGTGAAGTCCCAAGGTGCCTGCTTTGAAGGGGACTGAGGTATCATTGTCCTATTACAATGTTTCTTGTATCTTCTTAAGTAAACGTCTCTATTTTTCATAGGACATGACTAGATATTTTCTGGACAGATCTCATATATGTTTTGTGTGTTTGAGCAGAAATTATATATAGAAGCCCTCACTATAGCTCACTATTCATGTTTGTGACATGCTTATAAAAGGGAAGCTTAATAGTGTGTATCAGTAAATCATAAAAATCTTAAGAATGAGAAATTAAATTTCAAAAAGAGCAAGGGCCATTTTAAGCATCATTAAAAGCCTTACTATAGTTAGAATTTATGAAAGAAGAAATAGATAAGTCAGATATTAAGGAAAAAACAGATAATGATCATTAACACAAGGTTTTTAACTTCGCTTTGACTACTTATTAGGGAAGGAATTAAGACAAAGAAGGCCCTTCTGCTCATATAAAAATTTAATTAAAGAAGAGACAATTATCCAGTTACCTTAATCTCAACCTTTATTTATTAAGGAGAGTTTCTAGAAACAGAAAATGTTAAAGATTAAGCTACATCTGGAGACAAATAAGAATCAGATCTTTATTCTGATATTTCACGAGTTCAAGTAATCTTTCTAGAAATTCCTTCATCTAGTTACTGATATAAAAACGGGCCCAGTTCCTATGTCAACATGGAAAACACACTTACCTTTGTCAAAACGGTCCTTCCTCCCGTGAGGAATTCGGTGGAGGCCAAGAATATACCCATCTTCTGTCTCCACGAAGTGTTCCTCACTGGGAAATCCCCAGTAAGAGATAATTTCAGTCTATGGAGAAAAAACATAATTATAGTGGAAGTTCTATGGACAGAATCTGACAAAATCTCCCATATTTGCAAAGGAGAAGACATGATGTCAACGACATTCTCCAGGCTTTACTTAAGAAACTGAAACTTTAGCCCTGGCTGGTGTAGTAGAGAGGGAGGGGGGAAAGAACACAATTGATGTTTCTCTCCCTCTCCCTTCCCTTCCCCTCTAAAGATATTATCTTAAAAAAAAATAAAGTTCTAGTGAAAAAAAAATGGAAAGGTGTCTGCTGTGTCCCGTAGCACACTCATCGCCAGAGGAAATCCTCCACCTGTTCTGTCCCTGCGTTCTGCTCACGCGTGTTTGGTTAAACCTATCATCATCCCGGCATGTTCTACGCCAACTGCGACTAATAATTTTACCATAGTCGCGGGCCTCTTTGATGCCATCCTGGTTCCCAGGCACGAATAAACACTCTCTTTCTTTTCTAAGTATGCCAGCTAATACTGTGATCTACCACTATTCTTATTTTAAAAGGCCCCATCCTGGTCTTTAAGTATTCTCTATTTCCCTAATACTTTGCACCTAAAAGAGGTATTTCCAGACTTTATGGTTTACCGAGAATTAAAAACTTTGAAATGTTTTAATTATTCAAGGAATTATTTTTGTTTCTCTGTTCTAACAAAATGTGTTTTTCAGATCTTTTCATTTTTGTACTGAGTGGTGCTTCCTGGACATGGCTAATCACGATCCTTGTTCAGTGCATTGGAAAGCAGCACTCAGTAGTAATGTTCTTGCAAAGTTTCGACACTTTTTTATTGTTCTTTAAATGGATTTAGTGAGACTTAAGAACTAAACAAATCTGTACAAATATCATTTATTGCTCAGTCAGAAGCATACAGTTTTAACAGTAAGGTGCAACCTGTAAAATACCCACCACCTGTGAGGAGAGTCTAGCACATTGAATCTAAGCTTCAGAGAACGTTAGAAGCACTGAGATATCAGAAGATGAGAGTGCGTGGCTTGATGTGCCCCACATACCCGGATGTAAGAACGTATTGAACACTTGTCACATGCATTTGCAAAGCGGGTGACTTTAGAAACCTACCACATTCATATTTGTTTCAGGATCCACAGGTGCGGTCTTCCCTCTGGAGGTCTCAGAATGCAGGGTCCCAAGGGTCGAACAGAACACCAGACCCAACAGCCACATTTTCATTCTGCATAAAACAGTCCATTGTTATTTGTCCAAATTTTACTGCACATAATTATCTTGGTAGAATAATGTTCCCATAAAGAGTTCGGAACCAGGTTCAGGGCAATTAAACCTTAGGTGAAAGGCAAATATGAAACAAATGACTCTAGTCACATCTGGAAGCAAAAAAAAAAAAAAAAAAAGGAGAAATTCTTTTACTAGGAGACCCCCCCCCCCACCTGCTGTCCCCAGTTAATATGTGACCTTTGGAGCCCAGCACACCTACTCACTGCTTTATCATGAGGTTAAATAAATTATTTCTGGAGCGACAGCAGAAGGCCAGACTTACTGTAGAGGAAACCAGGCTGGGAAAAAGGAAGATCCTCAGAAGTCCCGAGCCCGTTAACCTCCTGCCCTTTTCTCTGTAATTGTGATGGCAACACTTTTAAGTTTGGCCAGTGTTAGCTTTTGTTCCCACTATCTACTCACTTCCATTCTTGCTCCACAGTATATGTGAGGATTCGAATTTGTCACCCAAAGGGAAAAAGTGAAATGAAAGGAAAGAACCTTCCAGAGAAACAGAGGGATAGAAGACCACCCCTCTCTCCTCCTGGGACCCTCCGACCACGAACAAAGACCATCTCATTTCTGGTCGTGGCAGCGCAGAATCACAGCATGGCCAAGAACTGGGGATGGATGTTACAGGCACAGCGAAGTGACTCTCCCAAGGACACCCATAGGGTTAGACACAAGGCTGGGACTACAGCTCAGGCCTCTGGCATTGTTTTAAGTAAATATAATTACTTAAAAAGGCCCAGGTGTGTATGTCCATACAAAGACTTGGACAGAAATGTTTATCACAGTCCAGCCTCTGTGGCTCAGATGGTTGGTGCATCCTTCCATGCACAGAAAGGCGAAAAGGCAACGGGTTTGACTCCTGGTCAGGCACATGCCTGGGTTGTGGGTTCAGTCCTGGTCGGGGCACATGCAGGAGGCAACCAATCGATGTTTCTCTCTCTCTGGAACCAATAAATATATATTTGAAATGTTTATAACAGGTTGTGTACAATAGCCCCAAACTGGAAAAACCCAAATGCCCCAAACGAGTGACTTGATAAGCATATTATGGTATATACACACTACTCAGCAATACAAAGAAATGAACACAGTAACATGGATAAAGCTCGAAATAATTATAGTGAGTGAGAGAAGCCAGAGCACCCCCCCAAAAAAACCCACAATGATTCCATTTATATAAAACTCTAGAAAATGCAACCTAATCTGTTTTGACAGGAAGCTGATCAATAGCTGCTGGAGGAGAAAAGAAATGGGAGGAAGGAGTTACAAAGGAGTTACAAATGGGGGCAGGGGTAGGGAGTGATACACAGGTTTATTATATCGAATTTATTGATGTTTTTTCACGGCTGTGTGCATATATCACAGCTTATAAAATGATACATTTAAAATATGTCTTGTTATTGAATGTCAATAATTCAATACAGCTATTTTTAAAAGACTATGCCTAAACTGAGTACAGGCATACCTCGGTGATGGGGAGAGTTCAGTTCCAGACCTCACCAGTACAGGGAGTATGGCAACAGAGCTTTATTTGTTTATTTAGTCTGGAACCAAACCCCAAATATCTCCAAGGTATGCCTGGATTCCACAAATCTGAAGAAACTGGCTCTCGGGAAGATGCAAAAACGAACTGACATCTTCTTTGATGCAAGTCCTGCTGGTGCTGCACTTATTTGTCCAAGCAGTGGTGGGCCCCACACTTGTAGATGGGGGGAACATTATCTTGGGATCTGCTCTGGCAAAGCAAGCCCACTTGCATTTATGCAAAAATTTGTGTTTCTTTATGGCAGTTAGAAAGGCTGTACTCTGGGCTACCTTTTATTTTAAATATAATCTCTCAAAGATCCATTATTACTATGATGAAGTCAATTGAAAAGGAAAAAATGAAAGGTTATAAGCAAAATTGAAAACAATGAGGCATCCAGCAGTGGCCACTTTCCATTCAGCAACTGTCCTACAGCATCTGGACCAGCTGTCCACAGAGGACTCTCTCTGCAGTGAAGCTGTTCCAGGAAATATCGCCAAGCTAACTTTTCCTTCCAACACAACACTAATCAAGCTACTAGTCAACCTACACTTTCTCAACCTACTAGTCAAGTGATTACCATGAGGATGAAGATTGATAGGTGTAAAGGGAGAAAAAGCCCTTTCAGGCTGGATTCCAGGGGTTTTTCTGGGCTCCCTTAGCCACTTTCCCTCACTTCTTTCTGTATTGTAACAACCCAATTATCTGCCCTCATTTCACCCAAGCTGGAGGGCATAGTGGCTAAGAGTGGCCATTCTACTTTGAATCCCTAGGACCTATCCAAATGCTACTCACATATTAGATGCACAGTACAGATTTTGCAGTATGGAGTAGGAGCGGCCCAACAGTTCAGTGGCTGAAGAAAAGCCCCAAAGCAGTTTGTCATATAGCTTAATAATAACAACAGCAATAACAATAACAATATCGACTCCCATTTAAGCTCTTGCTGTGTGCCTGACCCCACAGGCAGCGCTTATAACCTACTGTTTTAATTACTCCTCCACAGTTCTATGCAGCACCCTTAAATACTTTTTCCGGGAAACTGAGGTTCGACCAAGTCAAGTACTGAATGCAAAGTGCCAACTAGTTAAACAGTTGGAATGTTCACCAGGATCAATGCCAAAGTTCACTCCTGACCAGGTCGTAAGTTGACAAGTTAGTAAGGTCGGGCAGGCTGCCTGAAGGAGCTAACGGGAGTAGAGGTCGAAGAGGAAGGAAGGGAGCTGGGAATCAAGAATCCTGCCTGTCACCGCAGTCCAAAGGCTCTGGGAAGCTTCCCTGTGCTGCGACCACGCCTGCCTGGGAATCGGAGGGCACCCCGGTAGAAGCGGACAACTTCGGAGAGCTTCCGACTCCCGGGGCCCTGGGATGTGGCTGGGCTACCCTCAAGGTGCTGGCCCGGGCAAGGTGCCTAGGGGCAAGCACGAAGCGTGCTGCGAGCCTACAGAGGCTCGGGACGGCGGAACTGACACCCCAGGACTGGTGCCTCACTCCCCTCTGAGCCTTTAGAGATGGATCAAAACCGCTGCACTCGCACCTGGCGGAGAGGCGGGAGCAGCGGGAGCAGGCACTCACCCGGAGCCGCCTTCCAGGGACGCTGTCCAAGGCCTCAGTGGCAGCTAGCAGAGGCTGGTACTCTTAGAATGGCCCTGGAGAGGGCGGAGATAGTTCAACCCCAGGGCAGGCATCCGTACCGGCCCAAGCCAGGAGAGCCGCCAATCGGAACAGCCCGCCGCCTGGAAGTGCAGCAACGACCCCGCCCCTGGCTGAAAACCGCAGTTCCTGAAGCTGCCCTCCGCCCTCGTGGAGCATGCGCAGCGGCTCCCCGGAGTGGTTGTACAGTCCTGGCGCAGCCTCCGGGCCCAGGGCGGATCGCCGCTCCAATGCCCCGCAGCTAACTCCTGGTCTCTTAGCTCTGCACCTGGAGCTCCTTTTGCAGGGCTGACACGCTCTGCTTCAAATTATATACTTCATATGAAGCACTTAGCACTGTGACTGATGCAAAGCAATCTTGCTGTACATTTTATTTTTATTACTAAATGTGCCAAGCATTATTGAGACACTAGGGGTGCAGCAGCCAACAAAACAAGATCCCTGTCCTCCTGCTTACATTCTAATGAGAAGAAGCATACCACAAATAAATAACTATATACTATAAACTAGTAGAAAGTGCTGTGAAGAACAACAAAAGGGAGTAAAGGGGTAATGAGGGAGGATGCAATGTTACATGTAAGGTAATCAAAAAAGGACTGATGAAGTGACATCTAAACAAACAGAAAGGTGTTTTCAGGGCAGAGTATGGAGTGGACACTGATGCAGAGAGGAGGGAGGGAAGAAGAGGAGGAGGAAGGGAGAGAGAGAGAGAGAGGAGCACGAGCCTGCCTGATATGAGGTCTTCAAAGGGTTCCCTTCAAGTCTTGGGCCGAGTACCAATTCGGGGTTGCATGTGAAGAAACCCCACAAGATCAGGAAAAGACCCACCTAAAGGAAACAAATGGGAACCCCCGCCCCAAGTTCACACAAGATCTGGAATAGTTTTCAGGTTCCATCCGGCCAGAATGGGAAAATCTTGTGATGTAAAGGCACTAAATAAGAGTCAAAAGGATATCGCCTTCATGTTGGAACAAAATTAGCCCTGGAGTAAGGGTACTTAAATATAGGAGTCCTGAAACAGACCCTTGAATTATTTTTTACCTGTATGCCAAGACAATTCTGTGGGGAAAGAATAATCTTTCAATAAATGTTGATGGGGAAAGTGGACAGCCTTGCCTCACATCTTCTACAAAGTTAACTCAAAATGGGCCATAGACATACGTTTGAGACTTAAACCTGTAGAACTTCCCTGGGCAGGGGTCATGGAGGAAATAGTAGGTTTCCCAAAGATTTTTAAAACACAGTATAAAAAAGACAACCCATGAAAGAAAAAAATAAACAAATTGGACTTTTTCAAATTAACAACTTTATTCTTTGAAAGACACTTTATAAGCACAATGAGATATCACTTCACATCCACTGGGATGACCATAATCAAAGACATAACAAGTGTTGGAGAGGATGTGGAGAAATTGGAACCCTTGCACACAGCTAGTGGGAATGTAAAATGCTACAGGCACTTTGAAAAACAATCTGCAGCTCCTCAAAAGACCGAGCATACAGTTGCCATGTGGCACAGAAACTTAACTCCTATGTATCTACCCAAGAGTAATAAGAACTGATGTCCACATCAAAATTTGTCCATGGACGTCCATAAAGTGCTGTTCATAATAGCCAAAGGGTGGAGACATGTCTACCAACTGGTGAATGGATAAATGCAATGTGATATATCCATACAGTGGAATATTACTGCATCATCTTAAAATGCAGTACTGATACATGCTGCATCATGGAGGAAGCCTGAAAATGTGCTAAGAAAAGCCAGTCACAAAAGCACAAAACAAAACACACTGTTGACATGAAATGTCCAGAATAGGCAAATTTATAGAAGCAGAAAGTAGATTAGTGGTTGCCTCAGGACAGTGGTGGGGCATGGGAAGAATGTGGGTTGAAGGCTACAGGGCGTGGGGTTCCTTCTTTCGGTTATGAAAGTGTTCTAAAAATAATGATGGTGAAGACTATACAGCTTTGAATAAACTGAAAGTCATTTAATTATACACTTTAAATGGGTGAGTTGTATGGTATGTGAATTATATGTCGATAAAGCTGCTTTTAAAAACTTTATAAAAATGATAAGGTGCTCTCCTTACAATTTAATAAGAAGACTAAAAGCCTGATCAAAATGGGCGAAAGGCCCTGGCTGGTATAGCTCAGTGGATTGAGTACAGGCTGACAACCAAAGGGTCGCTGGTTCGACTCCCAGTCAGGGCACATGCCTGAGTGGCAGACCAAGTCCCCCAGTGGGGGTCCCATGAGAGGCAACCACACATTGATGTTTCTTTCCCTTTCTCCCTCTCTTCCTCTCTCTCTCTAAAAATAAATAAATATTTTTAAATGGGCAAAAGATTGAACACATCATCATAGTAGATATACAGATGGCAAATAAACACATGAACATATGCTCACCATTATTAGTCATCCAGGAAATGCAAATTAAAGCCACAATAAGATATCACTATTCTACCCGTGAGAATGGCTAAAATTGAAAAGTGTTGAAAAGCATGCAGAGTAACTAGAAATCTCACACATTACTAATGGGAGTGTAAAGTGGTACAGCCACTTTAGAAAACAATCTGAAAGGTAATAAATATGTCTCCTATATGACTAGCTATTCTACTCCTAAGTGGAAATGAAAATTTCCCAGTAGAAATAAAACTTATTTGTATGCCACTTATCTTTGTAGTTTTATTTGTAACAAGCAAAAACTAGAGGCCACACATATGCCTATCGACAGGTGAATGGGAAAACAAGTTGTGATATATCCATACAGTGGAATATTACTCAGCAATAAAAAATAATGAACTATCTTTTAATCCTCAAGTGAGGATATGTTTATTGATATTAGAGAGAAGAGGAAGGGAGTGAGAGAGACACACACACATATTGATGTGAGAGAGAAACATCGATCAGTTGCCTCCAGTATGTGCCCTGACCAGGTATAGAACCCACAACCTAGGTATGAGTCCTGACCAGGAATCAAACCCACAAACTTTTGGTGTATGAGACAATTCTCCAGCCAGTGGAGCTGCCTGGCCTGGCCAGGGCAAAAATAATGAACTATTGACACACACAGCAACATGTATGACTCAGAATAGTTATGCTGAGACAAATAAAACAGACAAAAAATCTATACCGTATTATTTCACTTAGAGAAAATTCTAGAAATTCTAAGTTAACCCACATTGACAGAAGAAAGATAAATGGTTGCTTGGAGAGAACATTTTGGGGGGGAAGCGGTGGTGGGAGGAGGACGGATCACAAAGTAACATGAAGACAGTCTTGGAGAGAGTAAATATGTTTACTATGTCAGTTGTGGTGCGGGCACTGAAATGGAGCCCAGTTGTAGCATTTCTTCTTTAATCCCACAGACCTGGCCATCTTGCATTTGACGAGCTTGTTTAGAAGCACTGGTTTAGGAAGGAGTCTTTTCTCGGAAACTTTAATTTCCTAATCCAACTTTTCCCTTTCTCCAACCCATCCTCCGTGGGTTTGCCACTTCTTAACTCTCAAACTATCACAAAAAGTCGTTAAGCTTTTCATATCCAGGAATCACGTTTTCAATTTGAGATGCACCAAAATAGTTTCACAATTTTATTGTTATTGATTGTATCATAGGTATTGGACTTCACCTACAAATGTTTCCATTTTGTGAAAAACTATCCCAAAGCTCTTTGGTGGATTGCTACCAAATAATTAGACAGAACAAGTTCCCTGTGTTTGGATCTTTGGTTGGTTTCGTGTTCAGGAAAACAACTTGTTCTCTGAAATTCTTTCTGTTTACAATGGTAGAAACTACCCTGTCCTCTAACTCTGCCAAACATACCGTGCAAAGGCAGTAAACAAATATACACAGAAAGTTATGATTAACTAGAGTTGCTTGAGAAGCATAAATTAGTTTAAAGAAGTGCTGACAGCATGTGAAACCAGCAAACATGCTACATTAACCAAGAGCTACAGAAAGAACACTCTTGTTCTTGAGGACTTGCATTATTTTATTATTCTTTTACAGTTTAAAAAGTGTCCATTGAATGAATGGAATATCTGTGGAGCACTAGTTGTGTGCAAGGGCTAGGTTTAAACATTATCAGAGGCTTCATGAGTCTTCTCCCTGACCTGCATCTTTTGGTTATTATTTATGTGTGGGACCCTCCGATAGCAAGATGTCTTCAGGAAATGCTAAAATCAGGCACCCTGCCTCCAATTTCAAAGCCACAACTGCTATGCCAGATGGTCAGTTCAAAGGTGTCTGCCTTGCTAACTACAGGGGAAAATATGTGATGGTGTTCTTTTACCCTCTTGATTTTACCTTTGTGTGCTCCACAGAGATCGTTGCTTTCAGTGATAGGGAAGAAGAATTTAAGAAATTCAACTGCCAAGTGATTGGAGCTTCTGTGGATTCTCACGTCTGTCACCTGGCATTCATTCATGGATCAACACAACCAGGAAACAAGGAGGACTGGTACCCATGAACATTCCCTTGATGCCAGACCCCAAGCACACCATTGCTCAGGGCTATGGGGTCTTAAAGGCTGATGAAGACATCTCATTCAGGGGCCTCTTTATCATTGATGAAAAAGGTATCCTTCACCAGATCACCGTAAATGACTTTCCTGTTGGCTGCTCCGTGGATGAGACTCTGAGACTAATTCAGACTTTCCAAACTGACAAACTTAGAGAAGTGTGTCCAGCTGGCTGGAAACCTGGCAGTGATACCATCAAGTCCAGAAGAGCAAACAATATTTCTCTCAGCAGAAGTGGGCACAGGACAATTACAGGGTTGTGGCAGCCGTGTATAGCCATCAGAGCAAAACCTCCCTTTTCCAATTGTCATGCTTAAAACCCAAGATCTCAGATTTCTCCCAGATGTGGTCTGGAACAGGACAGGCCTTTCCAGGAGGTTTTGGGGAGTCCAGCCTTTCTTTTTCTAGAGGAAATGGCCTAACCTAATGTAGCAGGCCAACTGACATGTACAGTAGTGGGGCAAACCCTTATGTTTTGTGTAGTATCTATTGAACTTGAACTGATATTTCAAT